GAAAAATAAATATAAATATTTCTATTTCTGTTGTAAATAAAGAACTAATTTTATTTGTGGGTGGGTGTATGGCTTGAAGTATGTGGTGCGTAAATGCTTGAATAAATGGATGGCTGTTTGGTTGGCTTCTTAAATGTGCAGTTGATTGTTAAAAGGATGAAATTAATAGATATAGAAATTTATATTTATATGATACTTACATCTATTCGGATACTTAAAAGCACGCGTTTATTTATATGAATGCACGTTTTATTTACATACATATTAAAAATTGCTTTCTATAGCATGTAGAAATGTTCTTTAAAGGAGTGAATTTCATTGTTTTTGCCATAAGAATAATTTTTATTGTTGCAAATTGATGAATTGTAGGTAATGGAAATTTTAAATCCTAATTTCTCCTTTTAACATTTTGGCCGTTCTAGATCTATTAAGTAATTAATTACATAAATGACTTAGGTTAATGACTCTCTAAACTAGGAAATATCCGAAAATGCCACGAAAAGTTCTTTTCTTTGCTTTTCTATTAAACAGAAATTTATAGGATTTACTAAATTTTAACAATATGGCAAATGACTCAATAAAAATTCTAAATATTTAGACTTATCCAACACTGACTCATAATAGATGCGTGTTTAAAAGAGAGTCATTCTATAAATACACATACACAAGTATAATTGCCATTGCAGATGTCGGTAGTAAATAAAATTGAAATTTCTTTCGACAAACAACGGAAGTAGAAAAACTTTCATACTACTACTTCCACTCAATAGGAATAGAAATGAAACACTCATTCATATATACAGACATTAACACATGAGTCATTTATTTAATTGTATATTCATATGCATGTGTGTTAGTATACGTGTATTTGCATTTATGTATATTCGTATTGTGTACACAAACTGTGAACAAATAACTTTAAGTATATATATGTATGTGTATGAGTATGTTTTTAATATGTTTTATGGTTTTATATGATAGATAAATGTTTAATATAAATAAGAAGGCGTTACTTTTATTTGTCTTTATTTTATCCTACAATTCACAGAAAATGATATTTATATTAAAAAAACAAACCCGCAAACAGTCATACTAACGAACAGTGAAATATGTAAGTACTTCTAAATATAAAAAATTTCCAATGAGCCCTTTTTAATCCATAGTTTGAAGATAACTAGTAAGTGTTCTATATTCGGCAGGGCCGAATCTTATATACGTACAGTCAGTACGAATTTCATTACAAAAAATCAAAAAATACCAACTGCAAAACGAAAAAGTACCACAAAGTTTCCTTTTATTGACTTTCATTCAATCAGGATCCTGTGTGTTTAATTCTATTGTTCTAGGTTTTATATGAAAAAGAGATTCTAAAAGTACCTTTTGAAAAAGGAAAAAGTTCCGAAAATTCCCCTTCTATAGGTTCTCACTTACTCCGGGCTCTATAATGTTTCCAGGTTCAATTTTATAGAAACTCAAACGAAAAAGTATCTTATAGGCTCTCACTTATTCCAGGCTCTACATGCTTAATTTTACTGATTTCAACAAACACACGGACAGACAGACGAACATGACTAAATCGACTCTGCAATTTATAAAAATTTATAGGTTTGGAAAATTATATTATAGAAATTACAAAAGGAATGACAATCTTATATGTATATACCCTTCTCACGAAGGTGAAGGGTATAAAATTTTGTTTAGCTTTAAAGTCATCTTCTGGGATGACTATATTAGAGGTAGGTTCAGTTATGTTTCGATCCTCATAAACTTTGACAAAAACTTTTCGTTTATGTCGAATTTCAACGCTATACATACTTTTTTAAGCTAGTTACGAGCGATATAGTCATTTTCTGAAAAGGGCCTAATATGGGAGCTAGGTTAAATCGTCGACTGATGTTGCCCATTTTGTTGCATATTTTCAAACAAACTGGATCAACTAAAAATATTTTGGCAAAATTTCAGCTTTCTAGCTTGTTTTGTTTGGACTCTATAGTGTTTTCAACAGCCAGACGGACGGACATGGCTAGATCATCTTAGAATATAATAAGGACCATGAATATATGTACTTTTGTGGGTCTACGGCCAATATTTCGATGTGTTATAAATGGAATGATAAAATCAATATACTCCCATCTTTTTTGATGGTGTGTATAAAAAGGTTCAAGGTCGATTTTTTCACATTCAATGCAACCACATTTTACATACTTATAGTTAATAGAAATACCTAGTATTTTAACATTCTAGGATATTGCAGTTTTTTTAGAAGAATAAATTTAAATTTTGCCATTTCCCATTGTTCGATTATTCGATAAATATAGTTCTACTTATTATTCATTTTAAAGTGAAAACAATTTTATAAGCTGGAACAAATATTTTTTTCCTCGATTTTTCGAATAATTTCTATTCGAATAACCATACTACTACACCAACGAGTATGACCGACAAACTAAAGATAGTTTATTGTTTAAATAATAAATTGTTCATATGTACAATATCTTTGATATGTGTTTTAATTGTTACTGTAGTTACATATTGTATGATTTAATATTTAAATTTATTTAATATGTTTACCAATATGTTTATATACCAATGGTGCCCAAAATCACTATTCCCTATCACGCGAGATAGGGCAAGAATATTCTGCTGACGTTGCGTTGACTCACCTACACTATAAGCTTACTTGTGTATTTTCTTATTTGAGCATGTGCTAGTTGATTATCTCTCAACTTGCAAAACAAAATCAACTCAGTTGCTGATCAGCATTTGTCGAAGTAAGATCTGTACGCAACTTTTTTAAAATCCACACAGAAATACAACAACAAAATTTTGAGAAAGCCGAATTTATGTAGGTGAATGAGAGAGCACAGCTGATAGTTTTTTATATATGAACTTTAATGTACGCTGTCTGTCAAAATCCATAATATCAATTTGACAGTTAGAATATACTTTTTAGTATGCAGTCATTTTATTAGTACAGTTTTATTTTGGGTTACATTTTGTTCTCTGCTGCTTTACCAATACAAATGAATGTGTAACAGTGTGTGTATGGGCAACACTGTTATATACATATGTATGTGTTACAAATGTATGAAAGTGTTTGTTTCCTCTTTTTTTATCAACCATTTAAAGGAAAATTGTTGTCTTATCTTACTCTTATCTCGTATTTCTTATCAATTTCCATAAGAATTGCCAAAAGCTATAATATGTCATCATGTTTTTGTGTTCTGGTTGGTTTGTTGTTATATTTTTTTTCCATGGTAAAAAGAGCATGTTAAAACGAACATATGTGTTTAAATTCATACAAACAAACTCATCCATATACATATCTATATTAAATATACACCACTGCAAACATAAAAACATATTTTACTATATTTATGGTATTTTTTCCCATTTCCTGTTCTCTACGAGTACAATACAAGTATGGACAATTTATTATTTACATAAGAGAATGGAGGAGGATCTTAAATTGCAATTTATTTTCGTTAAACTTAAAAAGACAGTTTAACATTTTTTTCCTTTGTTTTGTTTTACTTTTAAACTTTTTCTAGTACTAGCGTTTGCAGTGGATTTTTTGTGAAGTCCTTGAGTTTTTATGTGAAAAACAGATCTAAAAAGTTTTGCATTTAACGGTAGAAAATGTTGTTGAAACTTTTTAGGCAAAAATTCAATTTAAATAATTTAAAGAAAAAACTTGTAATATTTGTAGAACACTAAGGTTTTATGAAAAATATTTATTTCAGCAATGAAAATGTTTATAGACATTCTACTTTAAAATCGGTTCCTATTTAGAAAAAATTAAGATCAGTGTTAAGATTCGATGATATTCTTAGTATATAATACATACTTATTATCACTAATAAATGCTGCAAAAAATTATCAATTAATTGTACTTTTATAACTACCTAACTACAGCGCATTAAATTCTCATTTATTATCGTCTATTCCTTAAATGCTCACATGAGTGAAAACTTAATAAGCAAAAACTTTACTCTCTATTATAATTTCATTTAAGCATCTCATACTGTATAAAGTATCAAGTAGCTTGGGAATTTTCTAAAAGATTATAATGTTTTGCAACATTTAATTAAAGGACAAAATTGTCTAGCTAAAACATGAATTACATTTTCCTTTTTGCAACTTACTTTCATCCAAAAATATTTTCAATTCAAAAATTATCTTAAATGTTTAGTTTTAAATAAATGATCAATTACATGTCAAGTGACCCAACTCTGTACTATTGGATAGTAGTTCAGACACAAATTTTCAGCTCTTTCGATCAAGAATTGTCGGATTTATAAATAGCTATCTGAACTACTTTAGACAATTTTTTCTAGGGCCAATAGTTGAAAAGTTACACTCATTTGAATAAAACCCTGTATGAACAAAATATCCGACTATGACCCCCTCTAAAGCCGGCAGTTCTTGACCGATCAAGCTGGAAATTTGTGTCTGACCTACTATCCCTATACCTTAGTGCAAATTTCATCCAAATCGGAAGACATCGATTTTAAAAGTTGGGTCATTTGACAGGAAATTGCCCAATTATAAATAATTTTGTATAGATAAGAAAATTATGGTAGAGTACAACATTACGTATGATTAACATATTAATCATACTTACCACGGGACTCATTTTATATACTTTTGCATAATCTTCATCAAAAACTAAATTTCCACAAATATTTTTATATATTTTCCCCTAAAACATCCAATGTACATACATATATGGAAGAGTTGAAACAGTTGTATTATACAATTTTTTAGTTAAAATTTCAGTGTTATTTACTGACTATTGAAAGCATTTTGTCATATAACGATAAATTTTAACTTTTTACAGTATCTATGTATATTGCAAACATGCCTTCAATCGAAATCCAATAGAATTGATTTCCATTTGACTAAAAAATTCATTTCAATCTGCTATTTATTGTTTACATAACATTTACAAATATTTCAATAATTTCTATTTCGTTTTTTTTTCTCTTTTTTCTTTTTAGGTTTTCTCATATTATTTTCTACTTTATACAATGTAAATAAACAATAAACAAAGGATTTACATGATTTTCTTGAAAAAAAAAAAAAAAAACAACGACAACACCAGAAAAGGAAGAACTATACAACACCAACAATATCAACAATGTCTGTGTACAAATCCTTACAACAATAATAAACAAAGAAAGCTTTTCAAACAGGAGAAGGAAGTAGACGAACCAAAAATATGCAGATTAAAATGGAGTTGGAAGCACAACTTAATAAAAAGCAATAAACAAATAATAACAACAAAAACAGCAACAACAACAATAGCAATAAGAGAACAAAAAAATAAACACATTTAAAAACGTAGAACATTATTACAAATATTGAGAAATAAAAAATAAAAGAACAACAGAAATTTCATAATGTTACTGCGACATAAAAATAATAATCGTAAACATAACAGTAGCAACAACAATAATAAGAATAAAAATAACAATAATAAATTCAGCGAACAAGAAATTGAAGAGAAAATTTTAACAAAAATCTATAATATGCAAAAGGAACAACAGCTGCTGCAACAGCAACAACAACGATAGCATTAGAAATTACAACAAAAATATTTTATTTCCTGATTGTTTCCTTCTTTACTTTTTTTCTTTAAATTAAAAACGAACAAACAAAAAACATTAAAAATAAAACAATAACAATTTTTTTACGATTAATCCGAAATAACAAATTTAATTGTGAACAATAACAGCAACAAAAAGAAAAAAGAAATAACATAAAAACAACATTAACAAAATAAAAAAGGAAACAAAACGACTGACCAAAATTAAAACATTACTTTTAAATTTTTTATAAAAATTTCATTCAGATCTACCAAAACCACGAAACAATCACTGACAAACACATCCATTCAAAATTACTCACATACAAACATATAGAAAGCAATAGAGGAAAAAAAACAAAATAATAAAACACATTGACTCATTCATTTACTAACTCAATCACAGTCATTCACAGACACATACACTACTACACAACCAAACAACATACTTTAGCTAACAAAAAATTAGCCAAATTTGATGTTAAAAGTGTCGGGTTGTTAGTTCGTTCGTTCGTTCATTCAGTACGTAACAAGTGACGTACCACCACTCACTATATAGTCCACTGAAGTTCATAGACATGCAACTGATTCTCATCAACATACGTATATATTTATCATAGAGTATAGCAACAACAACGACAACCATACAACAACTTTCGCTAAATGTTTGAGAACGCAACAAATGAGAAATGTGGTGAATTTAACCAGCATAAAACGATAAAGTAATAGAAATGTGTTCATGATAAATCTGGATTTGAAAGGAAAAACAAACAAAAAAAAATCTAAATCTAGATTTTTATTGAAATTAAAATGTTTCTATAAAATTTAGAATTTTGAAAATCTTGAGTGTTTTTTAATAAAGACAATTTTGCAACAAAAAGTTGGCAGATTTTATACTAAAAACCAAATTCTCACTAAGTTTTCAGTTTTTTAGTAAAAAAAATAAAATTCTTTTAAATTTATATCAATCCAGGTTTTACATGAACCCATTCCTTTTCTGAAAATTGAATTAAAAACATAAAATAAACTTTATCCCTCTACACTAGTAACAACAATTAAAATTAGACAGTAAAGAACAACAATAATAAAATTAAAATCCGTAAAAGAAAAAAAGTATAAAACCATTTTTTGAAAAATAATTTTTCTAGGAATTTCATTTAATTTTGCATGGATGTAAGAGTGTATGTTAAACTGGACATGCGATAACAATAATAACAACACCAGCAACACCACAACAGACAGCAGAAAGTAGAGGAAGAGTAGAAAGAAGAATAAGATACATTATTAGTAACAACAGCATCAACACTCCTACCAAAACAAGCAACAATAACAACGATAATAACAGCAGGAATCTACACCCTATAAAACCTTAAGATTAAACCACAATTTAAACAACATCATCAACAACACTAACAATCAGCCTGTGTGTACCGCCTGCCTGCATGTGTATACTTCATTTTTGTATAAATGTGTGTGTTTGAGAGAGAAAGCGAGTAATCGTAAAGTAAACAACCCAACACCCTTTTTCGTCATCATCATCAACAACAACAGCAACTATCATTTACTAAAGCAATATCAAGCCAGTCAGTTTGTCTGCTTGTCAACTGAGCAACAAACCAGCCAACCAGTCAGCCGGGCAGTCAAGCAAACAACAATTCAGCAAAAGTAATCGTCAGTCTTCGTGTATTCAACAACATCATTTTAACGCCAACAATTATTCATTGTTTGTTCGTTTGTTTGTATGTATGGGTGTGTATGCAAGGATACAAAAAGTTGGATACGCTTCATAAACAATTACACAAACACACACACTTAACCTCACTCTCACCCACTTACGCAGGCATACGTACGCATACAACATCAACAAACACATGCACCACGCACACTTACAACTACTAGAATACACTCAACAATTTCATCATTAACAAACATCGCACAACAACGAATAACGAAATCGACAACTACAACTATTACAACAAGAATTATACAAAAATAAAAAAACCAACATTTATTTTATTTTGTTTTGTTTTTTCGTCTATCTGTCTGTCTGACTGCCTGCTGATTCACACTTTCTCCCCATCTCTTGCTGATTATTGCAACTTTATTATCGCCATCGTTGTTGTCGTCATCATCAACAACTACGACAACAACTAAAACAAACGAACATTTAACTCGCCAACGATAAACGCAATTGCCATTTCACCCTCGTCCTGGCCAACGTCGTCATCATCATCATCAACAACAACACAATAAAAACAACAACATTGTTTCGTTAAGGCTTAAATGAATTTATTTTGTTGCTGCTGCTGTAACATGGCACCAAATACACGCGTCACACGCAAATGGGAACTATTTGCCGGACGTAATAAATTTTATTGTGATGGCTTGTTAATGTCTGCTCCTCATACGGGAGTATTTTATTTAACGTGTATTCTTATAACGGGCACAAGTGCGTTATTTTTTGCATTTGAGTAAGTATCGAAAAAATATGTATATATTCATGTATTTATATTGTCTTGAATATTCATTTATTTAAGGGATTTACATACAAACTTTATTTTGTTGAGTGTGTCATACTTTTTGGGTTCATGTAAGAGCAAGGGTTTTAAAAGGATTTTAAAAGGACGGAAAACAGCATTCAAATTTCACATGGACGATTAACGCTGCTTTTTTAAAATAAAGATATATTTTTCTGATTTAATTAAATATACTGCAAACTAATTTTTCATAGAGTTATCGAATAATTAGTAATGTCCATCAATTGAAGGCAGGATAGGTGTTAAACAGGATAAATAAAGGATTGAAAATTTTCTCAAATATTCTCTATTGACAAAGTCATTTGACAGTGAATATTTTAGTTTAGCCCCGTACAAATGTTTCTACTGAATATATCGTTATAGAACTTAGCAAAAGTAAAGTATGGGTACATAGTTCCCACCATAACTACACCTAACCCATTAAAATGTTCGACACATGTTATATAAATGTAAATGTATTTTTAAAGAATTTTTCTTTTACCGCTAAAGAATTACTGGATGGCCAAGTTTAATTAAAAATCTCAACATAAAGTGCAATCTTCACACAATATTCTCATAAATATTTATTTTAATTACTTTTTCAATATTTTTCTTATTTATAAAATAAAGTTTTTTGTCACTATTCTACAATAGTTGTGTTTTGTTGCTATCAATGAGTGTTAACGCTTAAAGTTAGCAACAAAACGAACATTACCTGACTTGGCATCACTCCACAGAAGAAATCTGCTAAATCTTGAAATTATTTACAATTTCTTGAAAAGGTTTTTTTATTTGGTAATTTTCTTTGATTTAAATTTTATTTTAAAATATTTTTTTATTGTTTGACATAAACACAATAATATTTGTATTTTTATTTTTGAATTGGTAGCACTTTTATCAACGTTAAAATTAACTTGTATAATTTTACACGTTAACTCCTAACGTTTATAAATTTTAAATTTATATGAAATTGCCTTTGAACGTTAGCAACAAAACACAACTAATATTGATTATACATATTTTTATAACAAACAATTTCTTTCAGTATATAAGGAGACAGTTATTATAAAAACGAAATTGTTGCTTTTTATATGGACAAGTTTTACCAATAATTGAAAACTATTCAATATGATGTAGTTTTTAATGGCTTTTTAAAAATCTCTTATAAAAAACAGTCATGAATGCTTTTTTTAATTTCTATTTAAAAAAAAAAAAACGACAAAAACAAAAAAAAATAACAAAATAAAACTTTTTACAAAAATTTCCAAGAGCACATGTATATTCTAGTCTGAAAATGTTCTTAAAATTGCATGAACTTTTTCTAAAAGTTCAGTATAAAAGTTTTTAAATCACTTAATACATTGTACGTACGAATACTTACTTACTTGTTTTTTATTTTGATTTTTATTCGACTATTTTGCAACAATTTTTCAAACTCACAAAAGTTGTTGTCAAACAAACTTTTGATATGCGAAACAAAAGGGAAGTTTCAATGATTTCAAAGACACAGCAGCAGTAGCAGCAGACACTCGCTTACAAACACGTGCTGTCTGTCTGGCTGGTGAGTTGAAAACAAGCTGATGTATGTATGTATGTATGTATGTATGTACAATGTTCAATTTCTGGTTCGTGTTACTATCGCTCATTCATTCATTTAGTTGTTCAATCTTTCGGATATAAAGATATATTTTTAAAATTACTTTCCATTACACAAACTAAATCATCGTCTCCATCATCATATTGTACATACATCATATCGTCTGCAGCAGCATCGATACAACACAAATTGTGTGTAAGTAACGCTTTGAATAAACAGTTCCAAGTAGATCTTTTTTTCCATTTTGTTTGCAAACTTTGCCACCGTTGCAGCAATTCCTGTTATTCCTTTTACTACTGTTATTGCTGCTGGTGAAGATGCCTTTGTGTTTTGTTTCTAAATTACAAAGATGTTGTTGTAGTTGTTGCTGTTGCTTATGTGGGTTGCATCCGCTTCTAAATAAAAGCAACAGTATTTGAACATTGTTTGCAAAAAGTTGCCCGGAGTATGTACAAAACACATGCACACATCTGGGCTCATATATGTATGTATGTACAAGCTACATTTACTCTCTTTTTTATGAAATCGGATTTTGTTTTTTCGAGAAAAGAACATTTAGAATTATACTAGAACACATACATACGAGTATTTATATGACGTGTCGTTCATAAGTAGGAGTACAAAGTACTCAACAAGTCCTTTGAGGATATTTTATTCATTGAAAACTAATGCAAATTTTGTTGTTGTTGTTTTTTATCAGACCTTAAGTTTACGTTAGGCAAAATTTCATATGTAAATCTTTTAAAAACAACTAAAGAATAGTTCTTACTTCATTATATTAGGGTAGTCGTTAATAAATTTTTGAGCAAAAAGTTCGGTATTTATATAGGTAAGAAGTGATACTACAGATTTAAATATTTATCGGTCCATAATTGAACGAATACCTATTTAAGATCCATTTCAGAAAAGTGCTTTCATATTCATAGTTCACTTCTAAATATTAGCATTGATATGCTCTTCGATAAAATTATGTATGACGATAGGTCCGGAATTGACTCTAGACTTTTTAGAAATTAGTTAGTTATTCTATCAAATTCTTAAAACTTCTGTCACTAACTAACTTTAATATTGACTGTCCCCCATTTTAGAACATAGATAGCTACCATCCTAGGCCACGAAAATCAATAGTGATCTCATTATAATTTCTTACTTGTGTAGCATCGAAAATAATCAAATATGAGGTCCATCCTAATATGTATTAAATATTGTTCTGCTTTTGTGTTCATTTTATAATATTTCTGTTAAATAGGGGAAAAAGTCTTATCTTTAACTTAATACATTAATGCCCAAATCAAAAAAAAAATTTGATATAGTCTCTCAGCAATTTCTCTACATTTAGAATACTTATTAAATAGTAAAATGATTAATTAAATATATAAATGTAAAGTATTTGTCCAACTGAAATCGGCCTTTTAAATTAGTCGAATTAAATGTTAGACAACCAGTCTAATGGAAGTTTATGTTTATAAATCTTCATCTTTTTATCTAAATTTATCATGAGTTGTAGTGAGATCTACTATATATTATGCGCTAATCTATTTAATGTTAAGCGTATTATATTTGTTAAGTTTAAGTAACCTGAGTTTGCGTAACTAATTTTAATATATTTTCAAATCTTTGTTAAAGACAATTTTCAATTTCACATGACCCAATTTTATACGAATTTATTTGCTTACCCGCCCAATAACTAATTCAAATAACTAAAATTGAATGTTATATAGAAAATGTGTTAGAAATGTTCACAAAAGATGTGTTGGACCCTTTTTGTTAGCTTTTTTTTGTAGATTTTGCTGATGGTGATGAAAATTCATAATGAAATCTAAGCAAATATATAATTATGAATATAATACAACGACAACAGCAGCAGCAACAGAAAAGCCATCATTTACACATAAATACAATAGTTTTTTTAGACACAAACACACACATAAATAGTTGCACATATACCCATCCATTGTAATTTTATAGTTTTTGTATCCCCCAATGAAGGGACAAAAGAAATATAAAACAATAAAAAAAAAACAAAACTTATAAAGAATCTAAAAACATTATTATGTGTGACATAAACCCTGAAGAATAATAATAATAATGCGAATACGAATGAATATGTACGTTACTATTTAGGCTTACAGATTGCAATTCAATTCAATGCAAAATGAACGCACTTACATACATAAATATACAGATACTCTCCCCTATAATAAACATCAAAAAAGATTCTTATTTGTTTTTGAAATGTTCAAAACTGTTTTATACATTGAATGGAATGGAATGTATTTAAAAGGAATTGAGTCATAAAAATGAAACCCAACTATCACAAACAAAAAACTAAAACGCTTTATTTTTTATACTTACAGTATACGTATTGTTAAATATACATGGAATAGAAAAACTATCATAAAAAAAGATAACGAAAAAATACCCTTCACTTACATTTGTTTTGAAATACATAAATACATTTGATTTTACATAGTCATGTAAATATTTCAAAGATACGTACTTTGAAAAATTGCTCTAATACTCTACATAAATAAAATCGCTTAGAACTATTTCTTTTAGAAGAAAATTTTCAAATAATCCCAATAATAATCGTTACAAATACTAAAAATAGCTAACATACTACTATGATTGTTGCTGATAAGCTTGGTCTAATTATGTTGTTTGCGAAATTGTTATCAATGTGCTCACATCTGGAATAGATTTTTAAGAGAAATCATTTTGTATACAAATAAACATATCGTATTTTTCATTGATCATCTATGAAGAAAGAATCACTAGATTGTTCTTTGAGTAATGTTTTGTGAAATTTAAAATTATTTTTGTATAAATAATGTATTAAGAAAAGTAAATTTCATTAGATTAATAAACTAATCTCCCAAGAATACTATGGAAATTTTTTCTTTATTAAAATAAAATTAACTTTTTTTTTATTATTTTAGCTAAGAACAGTATTATATATTTACTATTAACTCTAGCAATATAAATCGTAACAATCATATTCAACAGCATTAAAAGGACATTTCAAATATCATTATATGTATTTGCAAGTAGGGTACTTTCATAAATCCTTAACATGCTGAAGTTGTAAATATTTTATAAATAAAAAAAATCATTTGCATACATAAATGCCAAACAAATATGAAAATTTCAAAATTTCATTGTCGTTTCTAATAGAAAAAACCTTAAAAACTAACTCACAAAAAATCCCCGATGTTTATCACCCTTTCAATTTTTCCCATTCAAAAAATTTAAATCCAACAAAAATAAACAGAAAGAATAGACTTCATATTCGCATAACTACAAACTAAACACATGACAAGAAACGCATGTTGAATTTGCCAGTGTTGAGCTGGGCCCAGTACAATAGACGACACTTGGTGATGGTGGTAAAGAATATGTACATTTGAATATAAACACCATGAACTTTCCAAGTACCATTATCATCGTCATACACACTTACTACGTATGTTAATGTTAAAGACATTTCCCTTTAACATAAACACCATCCCTGACTATTTCCATTATATATGAAGAATAAGACAATGGGACGAATGATTAAGAAACTATGTATTCTTTTTATGAATTAAATACTTTTTTATAACATTTTTTTTTTAAATTTTATGTTAATTTTGTTTAACACGGTGTTTGTATAAAATATTGAAAATTATCAAAAACATATTTGTATTTCCTTTATATTTTGTGAGTATGCTTCCCATTGTGCAGTTCACAGCAACTAGAGAGTGCAGTTGAAATGTTGGTTGCATGTTCCTATGCATGTATGTATGTGTTTGAATGTATTTTTTTGTTTGTTTCTCAAACAATAAAAGGACATGCCACTTGCGGCTACAAAATGCTGCTGGTTTGTAATCTATGTTAAACATTTTATGAATAAATAATAACAACGAAAAATACACTCTCATACTCAAACTTTATAACACATATATATGTATGTACATAGATATGTATGTAAGTATATGCATTCATAGATAAATAGATGTGTATGTGTGCATATGTATGTAGAAATACACACAATTGCAAACATATACACATATTAATGCCTAGATGAGTAATGCAGTTCATAATGTTTTGTGGCAAGTAATACATGTGGTAGTATGCCACTACTACCACTTCAATTTTATAATTTTTTTGTTTCTTTTTTGGAAAAGTTTATTATTTGTACTATACATGAAAGTGAATATATACGAGGGCAATTGTAGAATGAGTTATTCCTTTATTTTTTAAATACATATGTTCCTTTTCCAGTAGCAATTTTTAACTTCTTAAAAATTTTATTAAGATTCGGCATTGAAATATAAAGCTCTTAATTAATAATAATGCTTTCAAAAAAACTTTTGATACTGACCTCGTTCGCATGTATGTAAATTGAAAAAAGGACGCATTTTTTAAGTTAATAATAGTGAATCCCAGTGTATAGAAGAACCGCAACAACAGTAACACAGTGGCATCAGCAACAAAATAAAACGAACAGTACGACCTTTGAGACATTTAATGTTTTTAATAGAGCGAAAGCGAGTGAAGAGGATAATGGGACTGTGTATGTGTGTATATTTTTTCTAGAACCAAGAATCCCTTAAGACTTCATATAAATATTTTATGTGAGTTTTTAGATTTTTCATCTTTTTTTTTCTTCATATTTTTCATGTAAACTATTAGGGAAAAGAAGACCAATGCAAAAATGTATGCCACATTTAATTAAATAAAATTTATTTTAAAATTTCATGGAATTTATTTATCTAGAGAAATAAAATGTTTACATTTAAATTGTTTATTTATTTTGCAGTTGTCCTTTTTTGGCCACACGTATCAATCCCATTATACCAATTGTTGGTGCTATTTTATACTTTTTTACCATGAGTTCCTTGCTACGCACGACCTTCACAGATCCTGGTGTTATACCACGTGCCTCATATGATGAGGCCGCCTACATAGAAAAACAAATTGGTAAGTATTGTACAATACCACTGAACATGTTATTATGAATTTATAGTTAAAACACCTACATTCATTAAACAAACAAAAAATATGCTGGTGATTTTATATTTTTATTTCCGGCCTTATTTATATTTTGTTACATGTAAGTTTTATATAAAATTTCAATTGTTTTGTACGAGTATTTACCAATTTTTTTTATTTTGTTGAATTGTATTATTGTATTTTCTGTATAATTCCAACATATTTATTTTTTTATTTATTTTGTTGTTTGTTCTATTATATTTTTTGCAGAAGTGCCAAATTCTTTAAATAGCCCCACATATCGACCGCCACCACGTACAAAAGAAGTCCTTGTTAAAGGTCAAACAGTAAAACTGAAATATTGTTTTACTTGTAAAATTTTTAGGCCACCCAGAGCATCACATTGTAGTTTGTGTGACAATTGTGTGGATCGTTTTGATCATCACTGTCCATGGGTAAGTTAAATATACATATTAGTATTATTTTCCAATGTAATAATAAAAATGCTTAAAAATATTGAATTTTCATTTTGTAGTCGTATTCGTGAAACAAACAAAAAATAGTATTCAAATTTAAATTCCTTTATCTGTTTATCCGCAAATATCCGTTTTAGGTGAAAAATGAACCAATATTTTTTAAGTACCTAAGCTGATAATTATAATGAGATTATCGGTAGAAGGCTGTCTTAATTTATAATATTTTCTTTATTCCTTGATGGACAGAACTAAACAGGCGGAAATGTCTTAATTTATGCAGAAAGTGATTTCTTTGGATAAGATCCTCTTCACTTACATACATGCATACAATTTTACAATAAATATTCCATTTCATTATTTATGTTGTTAAACTCCGAATCTTTTATTCAAATATTGACAAACACTAAAAAAACTTAAGATGAAAAATTAACTCCTTTAGGTGTAATTGTAATTTTATATGTAAATTTTTTAAAACTTATAAAAAAGTTCTCAAATTAACAACAAAGATTAAAAAAATTAAAATATGTATCTGAATGAACTCAGCATAAAAAAGCTGAACCGAAAGATTTAAAAAAACAAAATAAAAATATCTTAATGAATTCAGCATAAAAAAGTTGAACCTTTATTAATTATAACGCTAACAATTTGAAACGTTAAAACTAATTTTATACATAAAACACTGACCTATTTTACCTTTTAACAACTTTATTATACAAGTACGAGTATAAAACAAAAATAAATACATTTCCAATACTTGAACAAAAAATAATAATAAAAAATAAAAAAAAAAACTTTTTAAACACGATTTGTGGGTCATCCCCTGGGTGTTGTTGCCTTCTGTTACTTATAGAATATAAAAACGAAACTGAAAGTGAATGCGAATGTGAAAATAAAAACAAAAGCATTTCAAAGTGTTACATCCTTTTTAATATTTGAATGAAAGTGCCTTTCATTGAGTCCACAATTAAGCAACGTTTTATCCACAGGTGTTTACGCCTTTAAGCCTCTGGTTAACATCAGCAGCAACAACAGCAACAATTTCCATTTGCTGTTATGCACACACACACACACACATCCATACATATAATACATTCGCATGAAAATAAACTCACACAGTCAGACGCAAACCGTTCTTATTCCCAATAACAGTTAATTGTTGGGAGGTAAATAAAAATGAAATAATAATAACGGTATAAAAAATCAACAACAGCAGCAGCAGTCGGAATAATAATAACAACAACAAGGGGCAATAATTAAACATGAATAACAATAACATCATTATTCTTAACTCATCATCAACAGCATCAACAACATAATTGTTAGCAACACCTTTGTGTGCGTAAGTATAACATCATTATGCGAGTGTATGCGTTTGTTGATTCTGCTGTTTATTCATTTAAATTCACCATGGGTTTGTGCTGCTTAAATGTGAAAAGTAGATGACAAGAGGAAATGAGCTTGTGATTTTTACAACCTTTTATTCTAATTGGAATGTTGGTTTAGGTCCAAACTTTTTACTGATTTGTTTAAGCAGTTTCCATAGTTCCCGAATAGGCTGAAATTGGGCACTCAGTATTTAACGATATCCATTCATTCGCATGTGATCTTAATCAAACTAAGATTTTTGAGATTATTCTATTAAATTTTAGACATGGTCTTTGAAATATATTATTTTCCAACCGACCCATAGTGCAACAAAATTTGTTTTTTTTTTCTACTTTACAAATCCTAATTGTTGAAAATATACGTCTGATTTCATCAACATCTTGCGAACAAAAAAAGAAAAAAGGACGTGTATAAAGGAGCAACAAACAATAAAAGAAATATCACACACAACGTTAGACATCATTAACATTTTCTCTTAAGGATAATTAGTTGTGTGAAAAAAAAACAAATACAAAAAAATAAAAATACCAAGAAAAGAAATACAAAATGAAAAAACACAAATAAAATGAATGAATAAATTTTACATAATACTAATGGCAGGCAGCAACATGCCTTTTTTATTTCTAAATAAAACTTTTTATGATTATTTTTCATTCTTCTCGCTTTTATCATCTACATATTTTTTCATTATAATAAAAAAATAAAATCCTTTCAAATAAAATGATCGACCTTCAGAGAAAGTGTTAAAGTGAAAGTGTTGCGTTTGTATAGAGAAACTAAATTAGAAAAAAACAAACATACAAAGTACAAGAATAAAAAATAGCAAACAAGACGCTCAACCTACATTGAATTGTAAACTGCAACAAAAAGATTTTTATAAAAATAAACTTAAAGAAAAAAAATATATAGAGAAATTATAAAAGAAAAAAATCTTTGGAAAAAAATTAAATATTACACAGTGCAATGCCATAGAATGAATGTAGAATGTTGAAATACACTCACACATTCAAATTTAGTCATATCTACTATTTTGCAGTATATAAAAATACAAATATACAAACTTACGTACATATATGTATATTTAGTAAAATAAACACACATTTACCTATCTAGATACTTCTTAGTTATATACTCATATTGGGGTACTAGCCCTACTACGACTACTACTAATACCACTTTTTTTTAATGTATGAAGTGAATTCATTTCTGAGTTCATTTTTTATCAGCTTCCGTTTTTTCAAGTGAGGCTACTTACATAAGTATGTGTGTGTCTATGTGTTCCTATAAGTACTTACCCTTTCCTCAATGGAGTAGGCTTTACCAGTGCTATTTTGGTAGAGACTTAATCCTTTCATTAAATGTATATTTTGAAAATACTCATGAGGAGTGTATATTGCTTTTAACTCATGAGGATATTAGCCTTACAATTATCTCGAATCAGATTTAGAATCCGTCCGTTAGCGCAAATGCATTTCATCTAAAATAGAACATTATAAACTTAGACAAAATAAAAACTACTGGTTATTTTACAGTCCTTTAACTATCACTAAAATCTTCAATTACATACTCTAGAAGAATTTTAAATATAGAAATTATTACAGAATTAAAAAAAATAATAATAAAATGAGCAGAGTCATGATTTTTCATGTTAAAATAGTTTAATTTAAAAAAATTACGACCAATGTGTTTCCTACAAAACCGTTTTCTATGCAGAACTTGAAAAATAGACAAAACCGGTCATATATAAAACAAATTTTACAAAAGGACCTACAATTTTATAAATATATACATATATATTTTTAGACTATGAAGCCAAAAAGAAATTTACTCTCTGAGACAATGTTGTAGCTCTTGTCATAAGGAGCAAAAATTGTGAACCTATAAAATCAAAAAAACTTTATAATCAAGATCAAAATCGTAAAACACTTAAAATCGATTTCTTACGTGTTAAAAAATATTTCAAGTGGTTCTCTATATTAGGCGTATACTTAATATTTGTTATATCAATAAATCATTAACACGTATACGTACAGGTGTCGTTAATAAAAACAGTACAATTTCAAAATGTAAAACTTTTCACTTGAAATGAACAAATGAAGATGAAGTTTTTATACCCACCATTAAAACAGATTGATTGATCATTAATTTTGTCATTCCGTTTGTAACACATCGATATATTGGTCATGGACCCAAAAAAGTTTATATATTCTGGTTCTTTCTAAAACGATCTAACCGTGTCCATCCGTCTGTCTGCCTGTTGAAAGCACGATAGAGTGCGAACGGAATGAAGTAGAGGGTTGAAATTTTCCACAAATATTCTCTACAGGTAAGGTTTGTTTGTTATTGGAAAATGGGCGATATCGTTCCACATTTTCGGATAGCCCCCATACAAGTGGAACCATTGAAAACGGGCATATCTATTTTAAAAGATCGAGTTTAGCGATGAAATTCGACATGTATAAGTTTCATATGAGCAAAAGTCTCCCTACCAAATTTTGATCGGTCCATAATTGACCTTACCCCATATATGAGGTCCCCTTCAGAAAATTACTTTAACGCTCATTACTGGCTTAAAAATACGAGTATAGCAATGAAATTCGACTCAAGTAAATTCCTTGCAAGCCAAAATCTCTTAACCAAATGTTATGTACATCGGTCCATAATTGACCCTAGGCTTATAAATACGTGTACAGTTATGAAATTTGATATAAGAAACTTTTATAGCTACGAAAATCTTTCTATAAAAATTTTTATACTTAGAAACAAAATCATTCCGAATTTAATGACGATTGATTTAAAAAATTACACCGAGAACCCAAATCGTTGGGACCCTAAAAAACAGGTCCACTATTCTTGCAATTGCCATTGAAATATAAGTTTAAAACGAAATAAGCAATATACATACGAATAAAATTTGTATAAAGAAAATTTGCTGTCTAAAGTCCTAAGGTGTTGACAATTTTCCCCTTTTTAAAATAATTTATATATTTAGATACATAGGAATGTGTTTATATTTTTTATGTTGTGGTTAGTAGCAAGAATTTACTTGCCTAGTTACTGTGCCAACATATGTACTTTACAAATTTTGTATATAAAATTATTATGTATGTAAAATCTAAGTATATATTGCATTTTTCATATTTTATACAGATCTCTTCATCTTCATACACTTAAACACACACATATACATTAGTTATTATAGCCCCTGGTATAAATGAAATGGAAAAGACTTTTGGAATTTATGTATTTTTTAAGTATGCGAAAAAGATATTGTTCACAAAATGGTCCTACACAAAAAAATGAACATGTTGTCGTTAAATTTAAATAAAAACTTGGCCTTGCAAAAATTTCTACACTAAAACTAAGACATAATGAAGATAGTTAGGAAAAATTTAAGGTATATACAGCTGTATTAGGTATATAAACAAATTTCGGTCGTACCTCACCGTAGTGACTGACCAATCTTTGATCTTTAAAAAGAAATGTTATTTTTTTGTAGAATTTTTAAATCATATTTAACATTTCTATTAATGTATTATAACCATTTCATAATGATCCTAAAACTTTGTTACAGTGTATTTTTTCAACTTTCTTTCAGGTTGGAAATTGTGTGGGCAAACGTAATTATCGCTTCTTTTATTTGTTTCTAGTCTCTTTGGCTTTTTTAGCTGTATTCATATTTTCATGCTCTGTGACGCATTTAGTATTATGTAAGTATTGCATTTCATTATGACTATATTCAAAATAGTCTTAAAAAAAGAAAATACATTATTATAATTACACAGTCTAACAAATTTTTAACCCAGAGAGCAAAGTATACTTTTCTAAAAATTGAGCTACGCTGAATCCGAATCGTGACTCAAAAGATAAAGTTAAAAAAATCGATGTTCGATCATATTTGAGACGCTATAACAGATCCTACGCTCTTTTATAGCACCTTTATTTATGAAATTTATTATGTCATCTAAAAGCCTAACCTATCGACTTTCGGATTGAACGCTGCTTAATTCATTAGAAAATTATAATTTGGTCCTTGGGTTTCGACTTTTTTAAAATTTTGTTGGCCTGTTTTTTATTTATATTTGGTTTTGTATTTTTTAGTAATGAAAACTGAACAGGAAGTATTTGAAGTTATAAAGAAGGCGCCATTCACCGTGGTTGTAGTGTTTATATGTTTCTTTTCCATCTGGTCTGTGATCGGTTTAGCGGGATTTCATACATATTTAACTACCAGCGATCAAACAACAAATGAAGATGTATAATATTAACTTTACTCTTTATAATTCATATTAAAATAATATTTTTTATAATACTACAGCTCAAAGGTTCATTTTCTTCCAAAGGTGGACAACGTAATTTAAATCCATATTCTAGAGGGAATATATGTTTAAATTGTTGTCATATATTATGTGGACCCATGACACCTTCCTTAATAGATCGGTTAGTAGTGTCAAAACAAAATAAGTGAAATGTATTATTTTCTTAAACCTAATTTTAATATTTAAAGACGTGGTATTGCTACGGAAGAATACATTTTTCAAATGCAACAACATTCAAGTCCTCGTCATCCTCTTAGTGATGTGATAAGTGCCACTCATGTGGGAAGTGGTGCCATGATTACCTCTCAGCCTATTATAACAGGAGCCGGCGGTGGCATTAGTATAGGTGGCTCCGATTTAAAATCTAGATACTATGATGAGGTAAGATTTTCATCTTAATTGCTAATGCTTTTAATAGATTTTTTCCTAAATAAATTCTTTTAAATTTCAAAACTCTCGGTGTAATTTGATCGATTTTAAATTTTATTAGATTTAAGGCACTTGTTTTTTCTTTAACCAATTACTTCTAATAATGCACTTTGTTTATTCTTTTCTTGTTTATTTCTGGTAACAAAATGATCAAATCAAATTAAACAAACTCACAACACTCATCAAATTCTTCATGCTACCACCACCACTTCAAACAACAACAACAATAATTACTACATTTTTGATTCTGATCTCCAATCCAATCATCTCCAATCCAATAAAATAAACCAAATCAAACACTGTAAACTCAAACATGATCCTCACTCTACTCTATTTATAAAATTCTCTCCATTCTTCTCGCCATGTGGGTGTGATATTGGTTTTGTTTTATTTTCTCACAACAAATTCATTTGTTGATCTTGACAATTTTTGAAAAACAAACAAAACTAAAATATGCAGTCCAATACCTCATCATCGGCCATGGATGCTAGTGCTACGGCTGGCGGCGTTTACAGGCCGCGCAGCTATGACAATTTACAAAATGGTAAGTCACGCAAAAAACACCATCATAAAAAACAAAAACATCAACATCAAAAATGTTCACTACAAACACTTTTACCACCTGCTCATCAATTTAATAATAAATATCAAAAACAACAAGAGCTTCAGTTACACCCTGAACAAATGTCAACAACACCAAGTGCATTAGCCACACCCTCGTTGGTGCACTCGCCAGCTGCCTCGACGTATAGACTAAATCTAAAGCGTTCACTACACTTACCTCTTTCACCGTCGTTCGATACGCGCAACTCGCCACTTCCGCTGTTGCATCACCATCATCCCTCTCATCATCAGCTCCATCAACAGCAGACGGCCTCATTAATGGGCTCGTCTTCAGCTCTGCCTGCCATAACGCCTGTGTCGGCGACAGGCGTTTCTTTGCAACAACCAAAACGTCCTTCTACACTGCAATTGCAAGCCTCTGCAGCACCCACGGCCAGTACCACAACACTGACGACCATGCAGACCTCAGGCCCGCCTCAACCGCCTGCCCCCGACTACAAATACTATTCGCCGCAACACAGTTCGAATAGCTCGAACATTTTCCTCAGCTATCCCTTTAACAAGGGGCGTGGCATGCGTCGTCAGTCTACGCAATCGGTCGACTCACAAAAGGTCACCCTTCCCGGTTATCAACCCCTGCCCATGCGCCCTCGTTACAAACATCAGGAGGTCCTGTTCGAACTGAAATCGCCCACGAACCGGCTGACCATTCGCGAATGTGACTTTGGTGGTGGCGGTGAGCCATGCGATGACGATCAATCGATCAAAGACAGTCAAATATTTCGTGTTAGTAAACGAAATCTTTATATGAATCATCGATCACCATGGAAAGAGCGTGATCGTTATTCAAATCTTTATGAATATTCATTCAATATTGATCTTAATTCAATTATAGAAGATGCAGCAGGTAGCGATTCGTCATAGTACGAAATCCATAACTACTATTCTGGGTCTAATGAAAATAGTTCTTCTACATCTTCTATCTCTGTTGTTATTATTATTGCTGTTGCCTTTGTTATAAATTTTAAATTTCAAATTAAAACCTAAACTCTAAAAACAAATCGAATTTGATAAACAATTCGTTATTGAAATGCCAAAAATTAATCAGAAGAGGAATAGAGTTTACGAAATGGCGAAATGGAAAAAAAAACTATATTATGGAGAATCATTTAAACAAATAGTTAGGAATTAATTGTTTGTGTTCATAATATTTTAAATATCTAAAGAAAATATTTATAAAATTATTTATACTATTCAACTAAATAATTATGTATCTAATGAAATAAGACTGCAAGAAAACTAATTTGAAATTTCTAAAAACTTTCCAAATTAAGAAGTAAATCTTCAACTTAAAAGCAGCGATTTCTAAAATATATTATTTCAAAATATTGCTAAATATTTTAGAAACTAAAATTCGATATTGTATGTAACTACTAATTCATCCCATTTTGCTTAAATAAACCACATTCCTTTGTATTGGCTGAAAATTGAAAAACAGGGCTAAAATTGATGTTCTAAAATAGTTTGATCCTATTACGTCAGTATTGCTTGAATAAACTTAAAGATTATAGAATATTTGAAAACCAATCAATATCAAACTGCTGCTACTTAATGAATTCAATTAACAATCGACAATGAAATATTAAATTAAGTTTTAATTTACAAAATAGTTTTTTTTTATATTTTTAAAAACAATATAGTTTAGTTTAATATTATGATTCTGATAAAGATTTGAATTCATTACATAGCAGTTGGTGTGACACTGGAGTGATTTTTATTTCACAGTTTTATGAAACTTTTTCTGGAAAAGCAAGTTTTAATATTTTTATACCTTATACATAAATAAATATGTATGTATGTATGTATTTAAAACTCGAATTCTTTTTATGCCTCAAGTATGAAAAATTTATTATTATGAATTTTGTTAACTTATTTTATTTATTTGTTTAATTAAAAAAAGACGAGTTATAAATATGTATTTAATTTGAAATGCTTTTTAAGTAAAATACATAATAAAATATATCATTTTGCAATAAATATTCATAACGTTAAACTTAAAAAGAGTTTATGTATTTCGTTTTATAAGATTCAATTAGTTAAAAAAAAAATCTATAAAGAATCTTAAATGCTTTGAACGTATTGATCAGACATTTGCTTCAAAATTTTGGATATTTTTGTAATGTTTTTTTATATTTTGAATCCCCATTAAAACTTAAAAGTAGAAACTTTTTAACAGAAACCTTCTGTCAAGGATTAAGGATTACTTCAGATCCTACTTTAAATATAAACTTGCTTGCTTTATTCGTTCAAGAAAATTTTTATTTATTCCCCCCAAGTCCAATTCTCTCAAGTACAAGTACTTTACTACTATGTATAAATTTATGTATATTACGTATATATAGACCTCTATATTCCTTTCCATAAAACTAACCAACTAACAAAACCCCCCAATAATTAAATATTTTGCTTGTAGTTAGACCCCCTACTCCACCTTCTTACACCTTGAATTATTTTTTTTATTTCCGTAAATGGTTCATTTAAATTTTTCATTACTCTAGCACAGTGTTTATACTAGTATCCTTTAACAAACTAACAAAATATAAAGCACTTAATTGGTAATATACCAAAACGAAATGGATGCATTTCCATTTTCCTAAATATTACCAGTCGAGTGATTTATTGTATATTTATATTTTAAATTTGATTATTAATTATTTATTCCAAAAACTTTTTATGTTTTTTTTTTCTGTTCATTGATTTTCCAAGATATTACAAGTTTTATGTAAAAAAAATAAAAATTATTCAACACCGCCACCTCCAAGTCCTAAGAACGTGACAACAACTAAAAACTACTTTACTAACCAACAACAACTCTTTACTCACAACGTATTTTCTTTAATCGAAAATCAAATACTTATTAAATTCGAAGAAATTTAAGAAACAAAGTATGATATTAATTTATGTGTATAATAATTTGTTGATATACAAAAGCGCTTCCTAAAACGAATATAGTTTATATTTAATATATATTTAAAGAATATATTAAGAAGTATACATATGTATAACAAGAAGAATAAAAAAGCACAGCTCTATATTGCAATGGCTTAATCAAACTAAGAACAGAAGTATTTAACACATTAAATGTTGAAAAGAATTGAATTTTGACTATAGATTGCATAAAAAGCGTTCCAAAAGCTAATGCAAGAACTTAATTCATATGAACATTTTGTTGACTTAAGGTATGTTAACATTATCAAATATTTGATGAAGAAAACACACTTATTAAATACTTGATAAAAAGTAACCTCTATTTTTATATATTTTTGATCTTGCCATGATTTTTGTCGAAATAAATACATAGTTATGGGCAATTTCATGTCAAGTGACCCAACTAGTACTATTGGGTAGTAAGCCAGACACAAATTTTCAGCTCTATCGGTCAAGAAGCTGAAAATTTGGACATGAACATGAAACTACCAATGGACATGAAATTACCCATAACTATGTATTTATTTCGACAAAAATCATGGCAAGATCAAAAATATATAAAAATAGAGGTTACTTTTTATCAAGTATTTAATAAGTGTGAACATACCTGAAAGGAATTGCCTACTTCAAAAACTTTATTTAGAGCTGTGCTTCATTATTGGTATTTAATAATTTATGTTAAAAACAAAGATAAAAAGGAGTATATAAAATATATAAAAATTATTTGTGTTTTTTACGAAAAAAATATAACAAAAAATACTTTTTTAAAAAACAAAAACAAAATTTAGTTAAACAATGAAAATTTTGTAACTTTTTTATATGAGGTTTCAATTTGAAATGGTTAAAAGAAAAACAAAACAAAAAAATAGAGTTTATATAACACGACTAAACAAATTTTAATAATTTAACGAAACAAAATAGAAATCGAAAACGAAATTATACAGTTAATTAAATAAATTATAATAGAAATTGTATTGGAACTAGTAATAAACAATAAGAAAATAATAGCTAAAAACTGCCATTTTAAATACAAAACACACTTATTGAGAACAACAAATAATTAATAAAATTAATAAAATACATACTTATAAACGAAGAAAATTATTTTGCAGTTATAAACCAAAAAATTTAACAAAACCAATAAAGATATTTTAAAAAAGTATAAAAAAACTCATATTTAAGTTCCTTTACACAAATAATAATAATTTTTAAAAAATATGTATACATATTATATATTATTATGAAATAATAAACAATTAAACAAACTAAAATATTTGAAATAGTTATTAAGTGTTAAAAAAGAAAACAAAGATTAATATTTAAAAGTAAAACAATAAAAACCAAACCAAAACATGTTAAAGTAAATAAGAAATTATACGTATTTATATATTAATATTATTATTAAAATTATTATTAAATAATATAGAAATAATAATAATATAAATAAATTAACAAATTGTTGTCATTCGTAATATTTTTAAACCAACAAAACAAAACAGAAATTAATAATATATATATATAGATTTATTACCAAACTGTACTGGAACAAAATGGATGTTGCTGAAGCTTCAAACAAACCATAAAGAACATAAAAATACTAAAATCTTAAATAATCTTAAAACAGAAACAACAACTACATATTTCAAATCACTGAATTAAACACTAAATATTATATAAATTAAACAAAAGAACAAAGGATTTAAACATTTTCTATACATAAACACATACATGCGTTTACATACTACAATCATATATTTATTACGTCTTTAGTATTAGAGAGTTTGTTAATTTATTTATTTACCTTTATTATTATTTTTTTAAGTTAATAATTTGAATTATTTATTTATGGTATATTTATTTAGCCATTTAATTTTATTAGCAACTTGTTTATTATTAAGATTTTATATTTAAAATTTATTACAAACCTTTCGTTTTAATTTTCTTACGGAGAGCTCTTCTATTTATTCTTCTTAAAAAAACCCTTTTCTTGAACTTCTTTTTAATTATATTTCTTATAAATTTTAATTTAACATCTGCTTTAAATTATTATGCTCTACACCATAGTTTTCAGATTTGTTGTAAAACATTTTACTAGATTCTGTGGCGGCTATTGGAGATCAATTCTGACTATCTAATAAATAATATAATAAATAATAATTTCAAAAACTCATATTTTAAGTGAACAAATGACTTCCTAAATATGCCATTCTGCAATAAACAAAACTACTTTGATGATCATCGCTTTAGAGCTGTAAAGTATTTTTAATGGATTTTCAAGAATTCGATTCCTAAAACTGTTATAATAAATTCCGCAAATAATCTATGGTGTATAGTATAAACTTTTCATAATCGGTCTTTAGCCGATTACGTTTGTTTTTTTAATTTAATTTCGTTCTATTCTTACAATTTTATTTTTGACATAATGAATTTCTAAAAACCAAAACGTATTTAAATTTTCTTTAACTCTTACTTATGCTTCATTAACAAAATAAAAATGTGAAATTTTTGAGCGGTTTAAAAATAAAAACACGTTATTTTTGAGAATTTTATAACGGTGAGTTAAAAAACTAAACAAAAATTAATTGAATTGTTTAAAAGCAGTTCTTTGTAAAAATAAAAATATCGAAATTGTTTCTTTATGTTTTTCTACAAAATATGAAATATTTACTTTATACTTTAACTTCAAACGATTTTCTTTTTTGTTAATTTGTTTTTGTAATAAATGTTAAACTTTTGATTATGTTTTTCTTTGTAAAAATTCTAATTCACGTTTTAAAATTTCGTTTGCATTTAATAAGTATTTTTGGCAAACTTCTTCTGTTATTTCAGTTTAATTTTAAGCAAATGCTTCACGTTTTTTTAATACTTAATTTTAAATTTTGCTTAATATTTTTAATTTATTTCAAACTTAGTTTTGCATTTGTTTTTGTTATAGATTATTTAAATTAAAACTTATATAAATTGAAAGAACATACAGACATTTACTTAGAATTCGTCATTTATCTTATCGCGTTTCATTTTAAATACGTTCACATATTATGAGAAATATAATTAAATCATTTCCAAACATATATTTCATTGTATTCTGAATTCATGTCATTTTCAATATTTCAAGATTAGTTTTGAGTTTGAAAAGGAAATAAAGTAATTAAACCTTTTGTCACGCTCCTTAATATTGTCCTCGTTTGTATATTGCTTTTTAAGGTACTTTTTTTATATTACCTGATATTTGTAATTGCTAATAATGTCGAAACAAATAATAAAGATATTTCAAAGTGATATTTAAAAGAAATCAAAATATCGATTTTAAAGGGTCACGTCATTTTCAATAAATTTTTGATAGGTGTAAACGCACCTTAAGTTAATGACTTGAATAAACAAAAAAACATATTTTTTGTAGTTTCGCACGTCAAATCATAAACCTGTCAAAATAATGAAATTTAACAATAACATTCGGTATTTTGGAGCATTGAAAAAACTTTTTATAATTTCAAAATAAATTTTCAAAACCCACTATTAAATGTTTCTAAATTTTTTTTTTTTGTGAAAAAGCTATTCTAATTACTTTATTTCAATACTCAAAACTGAATACATGATCGTATTTCCTCTACATTTCGGCTATTTTTTTTTTCAAATCTCAACTATTTTCTTATAAACTTTAATACTTCGTATTTTTTCTTTCTATTCTTTGTTTGACTTCTACCTCTTTTTTTATTAATTTAAGCCCCTGAATTAGTTGAACCCCTACTTGGAATTGAAGAACGTTCTCAAAGTTTTTGAATGAGGATGTAAAAAATTATATAGAAATTATTGCAAGTAGATAAATATTTAAATTCACAATTTCTAAATTTGTTCTAAAGTAATTAACTATTTTATGTCAATGAAAAAAAATATATTTTTTTAAATTGTAATTTACTTTGCGAGCGTATACATATAATTTTTTTAACGAAATTTTATTAATTTTTTATTTTATTTGCTGCATACAATTTCAGTACGAAAACTGCTACATATTTATAAGATTTTATCGAAATTTATTTATAAATAACTTTGTAAACACGGTGGCATAATTCAAGGCTTCTAAAGAAATAATTAAACATCTAATTTGGCAAAAAACAATTCCTTGATATATGCAACCGTGTCCGCCTCAATTTGAAATATTAAGTTGCCGCTTTTTTGTACTCTATTTGTTTTTCTAGTTTAGTTTTTAAGTTTAATTTTGTATTGATTTTATTTACAGCTTATTCAAATTTCTTTTACTTTGTTATTTTATTATTTTGTTCCTATTTTCTTTATAAACACAAATAATTGGAATGCTAGTTTTTCATGTAAATAATTTTCAATTAATATTAGTATTATTTTATTAAATGGAACGCATTTAAATGTAAATAACTTGTATGAGAAATGTTGAAATATACATACACATGTACATAATTTCTAATATATCTCAATACAATTATTTTAAAAAGTGTTGCGTTACATTTTAACAAAATCCAACCTTAAATCTTAGTTATAGAAACATATTTTAAAGAAACACTTTACTAATTCAATTGTTTACTTTTTCTTTTTCTCTCTTCTATTCGATTCTCCTATAGGTAATTCCAATAGTTTAGCCCATTTGGTAGATAATGAGATACCATTATCCCAAATGGATACACCGGCACATCAGCAATTCCAGGGCATTAATCAGTCGCGGCGCTTTAGACATCATAAGCACAGACTGGGCGATGGTAGTTCGGGCGATGAACTAGATGATGTAGAATTGGGTAATACCAATAACTTAGCCTTAAGTACGGAAACATTAGACGATGAAGAAGTTGTGGTGGTGGGTACCACCGAAGTGGTGGCTGCTGTCGCTGCCATAGCGGCTACAAATAAAGCGCGCGAACGCCATAATCTATCAGATAGTTATAACAATTTATTCAATGGTGATCTGGATACATCACAATCGAATAATACCACTCCAGCTACTTCCCCACTCGCAGAAATGCCTTCCCTATCGGCCAGTGGCTCAAATTTATTGGCAGCTGCCATGATGGGAACGCCGCTAACGGAGAATCTTCCCAAATCAATATCGCAAACGGAGAACATGTACAGCAACATACCAAATGTTGCAGCAACATCTGGTAATGTTGCCAACAACAAAGAACAACAACAAGACACGTCGAATCTTCATGTATATTCCAATTTAATCGATGAAAGATCTAATCCTCATACACATTCTACCAGCACCACTGTCAATACACCGACCACTACCACTTCCAACAACTCTACTACGTTTGCTACCTCCAGGAGCAAGTCCTCATCAGCCCATGCGGGTCTTGTGTCATCTATTAGTAGTAATCCCTTAGACTTGCCCTCAACTTTGTTGTGTGATGATCTGGATTTGGATGATCCTGTTTCAGCCTCTTTTGTAGCCCAACCAAAAAATGATAAAAGTAAATTTAGCACACGTCTTGCCTTTAACTCGATTGTGCCCGATGTTTTGCAAACGCCCAACAAATCAACGGCTTTAGCTTCGAATAGCACATGTAGCGCTTCCACAACGGACAATGTCAAACTGCAAATGTCTTCGACCAACGATTTGAGTTCGAATCGTTTGCGTATTCTACACGACACCACCATGATTGACACAGCATTAGATTTAGATAGTTTAGACGATGCAGCTTTAGCAAATACATCGCAGGCTTGTTTAGTTAAAACACCATCATCGCCCTCCTCACCAGCCAACATTGGTTTTAAAGTTTAAGTATGTATTTAGGCGTGTGTAAAGGACGGAATGTTTGGTGAGTTGTGTAATTAGAGATAAGGTTAAAGTTTGATTCAAAATCAAAATAATTACTTTGTTTTGTGATGATGTGAATTGTGACCACCGCTAATTGGTAAAATTATTTAAATGAAAGAATAAAAGAAAAAAACATGATAAATTACAAATTATTTTGATTATGTATGATGTTAAATAGAAAATATATTCAGGAATTCGTATTTTTTTTTTATTAATATTAATTTTATTATATAGTTTTTTAAATTAATTTTTAAATAAATTGTTTTTAATTTTATTGCATGTAATAGTAATTAGTTTTATAAATTTTAAGGCTAGTTATAATTAAGAACCCTTTTTTAAATTTAGATAATTTTTTTTATTAAAACAAAGAGATTTTTTATTTCAAAATATTTGTTGTTATTTAAAAAAATACTTTTTTATATAATTTTATATTTCAAAATATTATTTATTGTTTTTGCACATTTCCTTAAGTCATTTTAAGTTCCATTTGAAAGAAATGACCAGTGTATAGTTCATTTGTAGGCAAGTAAATGTCAGAGAACTGGAATTCTCTTAAACCGGAAAAAGTTTAACAGCCTTCAATAGATTTTATACGAAAATTAATTAATATTTATTATTAAAAAACTTTAAAATTTCTGAGAGACATCTAGGTAAATCTTTTCAGTAAAATTGTTTAAATATTGGAAACAAATCTTAAATATTTTTAGTTTACAGTTGTCTATTAAATTGATTTTTCCAAATAATATTATTTATTTAAGAAACATTGTGTTCTTTTAATCAATTTTAAAACTATTCCATAATTAATAAAAACAACAATACGCATTTGTACAGGCCTATCAAAGAATTCCATTCCAATCGAATGTTTAATTATTATCGCATTTTACTTCTTCAAAAAACAATAACAGAAAATGTCTTTTGGAAAGAATAAATTTAAATTGAGATTTGTATGTATACAACTATTAACTTTTCTTAATATTTTAATCAAATTCTTTATTAAAAACTTCAATCTTGTTTTAAAAACAAAATTGTTAATTTTTTTGTGAATTAACATAAGTAATCTTGACAAAATCGAACAGAAGAAATAATAATTACGGAATTGAAACATATTTTAACAAATGTTCAGTCTGTCCCTTTAAAGGATTTCAATTGTTTACAAAATTAATAATTTTTATTGTTTTTATTGTCTTGAAAAAAGCTTATTTGAACAAAAGCAATAGTATGCTTGATTTTCCTTAAATACTAAAGACGTTAAAAAATTATGAAAATTGAAATGGAAAAAAAAAACAAAAAATGTTTAATTAGAACACAAACAACATTTTACTTAACAATTAAACATACACACACAAAACGAAATCAATTAAAAGATGTTTTTTAAATAAAAAAGTTGTTACAATAGATAAAAGAAAATTTAACAAGTAAAAAATGAAACGAACTTAAACTGTAGTTAAACAAATGGAATAAATAAAAAATATATTAAACAAACAACTTTATACTAATTAATACAATAAATCATTCAATTGAAGCAAATAAAACAAAATAATTGAAAAACCATGTTAACATTAAACCATGAAAGTAATATAAAACAAATATACATATACGGAAATTATTTAGATTATAAATAATAATAATATTATAGTTAAACAATTAAGTCATTTGTATATTTTGTAATAAAAAAAACGGATAAAAATTATTATTAAGCTATAAGCATATAACAACAATATTTTTTAAAACAAAATTTACGTTCATTTTAATTTATTTAAATTAATTTAACAATAACAAAAACCAGTGAATATAACAAAAGTATTAAGTTTTTAGTTAAAAACATTTTTATACAAAGAATACAACAAACAATTAATAAAAAACAAAACAACATTTTAGGATTTAAATAAAAAACAACAGAAATAAAAACAGTAATCTAATAAAAAAAATACAGTTATAAAATCATAACAACAATAACAGAAAACACAAAAGAATGCATGCAATTAAACTCAAACAAATAAAAAATAATATTTATTGTAAAAAGGATTAAATAAACAAACAGTAATACAAATAAAATACATAAAATGTGTATAAACTATAAAATTTATATACATATACTAAAATAAAAATAATAAAATACAAATTAACAAAATACAACACAAATAAATCATGCAATAAAACGGGCAAACTGGCAAGATTTGCTAAATTAACAATTAAAACACATTTCATTAAAAATTATTGAGAAAATGACAGAAAACAAATTATAAATATTTTAAAGAAATAAATTATGAAAATAATTATGTGAAAATGTTGTGAATGAAAAAAAAAATATAAAATAAAAAAAATGAAATATGTATACATGTATATGAAGAAATATGTATGTTAACTCGTGTATTATTTAGACAAAAAATAAAAGTATTTGGAACAATGTCAGTAAGTATCAAACTACTGCAAACACCACCATAGTAGGGAGGGTATTTTATACGTTTGATCCTACGCCCACCTTAAAGTATACCGATCGACTCAAAATCACTTTCTGAATTGGCCCAAAGACAAAACCTATTGAAAATGTCTAACATCGGTCCATTATTTCACCTAGCGCCCTTACCTTTAGAAAACACTTTAAATGTCCATAATTGACTTATAAACATTAATATCGCGATGAAATTCAGCGTAACTAATATTTGACTCTAAATTTTGTGACGATCGGCCCATATTTTATCCTAACTCCCATTATTTAGAAGATTAGTTTTTCATCCATGTATATCAGATACATCAGAAATTCCAACCATAGGCTACAGAATTTCCAAGCATATGCTATGCTGTTTTTTAAATTTTGGTAAAATTGAAGAAATTTTGTGAATCAATTTTGGTTACGGTTGTAATTTGAACCAGTTTTACAATTCATTTAATAAATTATATTAAATTTCTTTTTTAAATAATTTCCATTTATTTACAAAAACAAATAAAATAATTCATATGTACAGATTATTAAACATAAATGTTTGTTTTTTTGTTCAACTTTATAAATATATGTATATAAAACAAAAAAGCATCTTAACAACTATTGAGCATTATACATTATTTAAAACAAATTATAAATATAATAAAATAACACACAAAATATATTAACTACATGACTAAACAGACAACAACTATAGTAGTAATAGTATATATAGTAATTTTATAATAATTATAGTGATATTAGCACAAGAAAAAATGGCGTTCAATTATATAATATATAGCACGATAGTTTTGTTTTTATTAATTTTAAAGCGATTCATTCAGGTTGAGCTTCTTCCAGATTCATGAAAACATTGCGCATTTGTTCTAAATCGGGCGGTGCTGTATCTGGATTACGTATCCATATATTGTAGGCTCGCTTGTCGGTCAGTGTTAAGGGCTTAAAACACTTGGGATTGAGAGCCTCCTCCCCGGATATTTTTGAATTGTAGCGAGCATAGAGAAAGACTCGATAACGCCAATTATCAAAAGTCTACAATAATAAATAAACAAAATTAATAAATTGTCTAGTTTCAATAAAATAACAAAAACAAATTTTACTTAGTTATATCATTTACAACGAATGCTTCATTTATTAAATTTTTGTTAAAAATAGTCAAAATTAATCAGAAAAAAAAAACAACTAATTACATTAAAATTTGAGTACCGGAATGAATGTCTAAAATAATTTTCCTACTCAAATTTTATTTTCTGTAAATATACCAAAATTTAATATCTTCTTTTTGTAATAGTATAAAAAAAATACAAATTCACACACACACACACGTACAAAACAATACTACTCACTTGCTTCCATTCAGCTACGTGTTTAACAGCTCCCTGAGGTACGGAATTCAATATGTCAGCTAATTTAATCCAATAACGATTTAAAGCTGGATCATTACGTCTATGTTCGTTTATAACAGGATGCTGTTCCAAAAAGTTCACATAAACTTCTTTTTGCTTTTTTGACATGCGTTCTTTACGTTCTTAAGAGGGAATTGGAAAATAATTGATAAAGCACAAAGTTAATGCATTTAAATTCATCACAAAAACAAAAATGAAAAAATTGCAACCAACTTACGTCTTAAGCTATTTGAGGAGGATGACTCTTGCATTAGAGCATCTATATGTGGCTGATGTTGTTGATGCTGCTGCTGTTGTTGTTGTAAATGCTGTTGCTGTTGTTGCATAAAATACTCATGCATACGTTCTAAATGCAATTCTTGTTCTTGTAATTCTCTTTCCATGTACGAAGTTTCCTCATCGGTATCAGGATTATTGTGCAAATTCAAAGCAGACGTTGATGAACTTAATGATAAGGCCGTCGTTGTGGCTTGGGCAGTTTGTGATTCGTGCAGAGCAGACTGATGGTGTTGCTGGTGTTGTTGTTGCTGCTGCTGATGATGCAGTTGTTGCTGTTGATGCTCTTGTTCGAATTGCTGTTGTTGTGCTAGTGCAGAGTGAGTTACTGGAGGCGGTGATGATACTTCATCGTAATCTATTTTGGGTTCAATTTCAATTTGTTCTGTTTCAGTGGTGTTGTCTACTGACATTGTACTCGAAGGCGGCAGTGTATTTACATTGGTAATGCGTATTTTTAATGGTGGTGGATCATCATTGTTTTGTGAATGTTGTGAATTGGAAGCACTGCTCGATTGTTGTGGGTATTGTTGTAGTTGTTGTTGGTGAAGTTTATGCAGTTGCTGTTGTTGTTGCTGTGACTGTGGTTGACCATTGTTGGCAGTGTTTGTTGCTGTAGTTTTTGATGGTTCGTGTAAATCTAGAGCTTGCTTTTGGGTAGAACCGCAGCGGCAGGAAAAACAATTTGATATTAAAGCGTGATAGTTGTCTTTACAAGGATCAAAAACTAGAAATGGGAATTAAAGAAAATTAATTACAAAGAATACTTACAAACAAATTATAGCCTAAAAAAAAAACTAAAAAAGACTCTAAAAAATCGTTATTTCTCCTATGATTCATTATTTCCGAAACACATTCAGCATTAAATATATCGGAAATCGAAATTTCTTTTACAATTATTTGAAATTATTGTTTATATTTTTACAAATAACATTTTATTTGATTAATATTTTCTGTACAGAGATCTGACCTAAACTTCAATGTTAATTTAATACAGAAATTATTTAAGTACATTTTGTATTTTATTTATGTACAATTTACAAATTTATTTCACTTTCATTAACAAAGTGCATTTTTTAAAGTAAATCTATAAAGTAATTTACTAAAGGATATTATAAAAATATGACTTTTTTCTTCTCTAAATAAGTGGTGTTTTAACGTTTCAACATAAACGCTTTGCAAGATAAATGAACTTAGAGTTCTTTTAACGATTTAAATTTGAATCAGTAATCGTAATCAGGCTGGGACTCATCGAGGCTAGGAAACATTTCCATTTTTTCGAAGTCCTGAGGTGCAGTACTCTTATGGCTCGTCCACATGGCGTAGGCTCGCTGATCGGTGGGTGTTAAAGGTTTGTAGTTTTTGGGATTTTGGGCGGCAGCACCAGCAAGTTTAGAATTGTAGCGGGTATACATGAAAACACGATAACGCCAAGCATCAAAGGTCTTAAAAGGCATTGAGAGATTAATATTTATATAAAAAAAAACAATTCTTCTTTAGTAACCTGTTTCCATTCTTCTACGTTTTTTACGGCTCCCTGGGGAACACTATTTAATAAATTGGCCAATTTATTCCACAAGGGCTCCAGAATAACATCGTTGCGTCGCTGGGTCAACATGCAAGGATTGTCTTCGAAAAATTTCACATATAACTCTTTTTGGTCTTTGGACATACGTTCACCACGTCCTAAAAGTAAATGGAATGAAAAATTATTATTTGTAAAGAGAGAACAAGTAAATCCAAACCTACTTCGAAAGCGATTCATCATTGACGGCGAATATTGTGACTGAGAGGTGGGTGTTGAATGTTGAATATTTGCAACCGCTGGTTGCATTACAGCTACAGTCTGATTTAGAGGCGTTGGAGGTGGTGGGGAAGCTGCTGATATTGAGGTATTATTTTGTGGTGCAATCATGCTATGATGTGTATAGTTGGTAACAAAATGTTGCGCTAATTGCTGATGATGTAACGGTTGCTGTTGTGGCTGCTGCTGTTGGTGTTGAGCTTGTTGTTGCTGCTGATGTGGATGTTGCTCATGTTGTTGCTGCTGTTGTTGTTCATGTTGCTGCTGCTGTTGTTGTTGCTGATGTTCCTGCTGATGTTGTTGATGATGCTGCATTTGTTGTTGCATTACATCTTGATGCCTTTCGTAACGCAAATCTCTCGAATCCATCATTTCCGTTTCCTCCTGCTCAGCCTTCGGTATTATATCCATAGGATCGATTGATTGTGTCAGCGATTCAGGCGTATTTTCATTATACACCTGCGACACACGAATCTTGTGTGCCGTTTCTAAATTACTCGAATGTTCCGAGTGATTTTCTACCACATCCAAGGGGGAGCGTGTTCTGCTCATTATTGTGCCCACGCTATTGTTGGTTGCATACATTTGTTGCATTTGCGTTGCAGTTAGAGGCGAATCCATATTCGATGTTGACTCATTTGATTTTTGAGGCAAAGGTACAATGAGTTTCTGTGAACATGACGGTTCATAGTTGAGTTGCTCCTTAAGCATGGCGTCATCGTTACCTGTAAGAAAAAGCATTTTAAAATGCTGCGTTTTAATAGACAATATAAACTTCTAGACTTACAAGCAATAATTAAACGGGATGGACGGACTTAAAGAAAACATCGAAATATTTTTGTTTTATGGTAGTTATTCTTTTTTAATTATTTTGTGTAAGTCCTTCGATGATTCTTATAAACTTTTTTGTATATTGGCGCACAAATATTGAGTTTTCTATTTAGTAAAGAGAACATCATAATTGTAACAAATATTTTTATTAAAAATTTTATACACATTTTCAATACTGCGTTTTAACATCTTTCAATATTGAATTAAAGTTTAAACAATTTAATTAAAGCTTAGTTCCATTAATTGCGTGATACGCATTACGTACAAATTTCAATAGGTACCTGTTGTTTGACTTAAACCTTCCAAATGAGTTTTTGTTACATTACTGGGTTTCTTTATTTTACATGCTCGGGCCACGAGTGGCAATTTATTTAAAGCGTTAAAATGTTTGAACTTTTTATACCAACAGAGATTTATACTCAATTCGGTAAGAATATTATTCCCGTAAGTGTCTAAACAGAAATTAGCGCTTTTACCAATAACATACATAAGGTCCGAACATAAAAAATAGTTAGAGCTAACACGCCACAGTGATTAATTTTATTATTATGAATAAATCGTTTACGAATAAAAAATTAAAGTAAAAAGATAAATTTAACAAAAATGGTTTGTTAGTAATTTCGCGTTCGACATTTTGAAAATGCCCATATTGGGCATTGTCCGACGGTCCAGAATTCTTCTGTGGGTTGTAAAACTATGTCATGCAAAAAAATAAACATACTGATATGGTAACGTTAACTCTGAAGTTTTAAATACACGATTACAATGTTATTATGCGTTTGTGCTGATGTTTGTAACATCACAACCGCATCCTCAGAATAACGCACAACTTAGTTTTATATTATTATAATTGATACTGTAATAATCGGGCCTTATTTGACCCTAGTGCAATAAAAAAATTAATATAGTAGTGCCTCGGCAAAAATCAGCTCAACTTAGTTTTATATAAGTACAAATGACCTCGCTCCTCATACTAAGCCCTCTTCAGAAAATGAAGGTAAATAATTTACTTATAAACACTAATATCCTACATAAATCCCTATACGAAAAATTTATGATAGACCCATAGTTAGTTATCCTTGCACCCATATAACACTTCTTTCGAAAAGTTGGAAAATATATTTTATATTAGATAACTAATATATAATTCCCTGAAAATATTTTTTTTAAATGTACTACAGTAAATAATTAAACGTATTTGAAATATTACATAAAATTATTACAAAAAATTCTATTTTCCACTGGTAAACTATAAGATGTATTGATTTTTTTATTGTTTCATTCCCCTATCTTTTGTCTTTAAATCCCAATAAAATCTTCCAATATATTTGTTCATAAAACAACTAAAATTGGAATTTTGAAAAGGTCGTTTAAAAATTAAACTTTTTTGACAAAAACTGATAACAAGTTATCGTTGTCTTAAAAGGAACAGCTGTAAATACCTACATACTACATATGTATGTACAACAATATTATTTTTTCAACCATTTTTTGAGTTTTATATCTTTCTGAAATGCTTATTCTGTGAAAACTACGATTCCCCTTAAATAAAATTTTAAAACTAAAAAATTGGCGTTGTAATTGTTCCTCAAAACTTTGGAGCCGTTGCGGCACCAGTTAACGTTACCATATGAGTCTAATTGCTTGCATGTCATAATTTTTTTGGAGAACTTTCGGAATGTAGAGCGAGCGTCAAAAGAAAGTGTCCAGTTATTTTATTTGTCTAAAAACTTGTGTTATAGTGTAATTGTTGATAAAACATTAATTAAATGGTCCAAATATTTGTATATTGCTTTGCTTCTTAATAAAATAGGTATATCTGCAGAAGTAATGATCAGAATTTGAACCCATTTTTGTAAATTTTATCCAGATTCGTTGACTTATTTTTGATATGAAAGTAAGGTTTCTTAAGAGGTAATCTCATATATATGTAGAGTATTTATTAAAATAATCTTAGAATTGAAATGGTTTTACTGTTATAGGTTCCCTGGTTTAACAGTTATATTTTTTGATAATTCAGGGAATTGGTCTTCAGTCCTTAAGATTTTTGCTGTTCTTCAACATTAGGAAGCCATTTTAGTCATCCTGGTTAACGATAATTCCCAACCGTGTGACATCATACGCATTTTTCTATAATTTTTTAATTGTTCAGTGACTATTCCTGACCATTCGGTACTTGGGTAGCAAAATCTGTATAAAACTGCAAAAAACATTGCTAGCCTAAGTACTTTCTTTCAAAGAGATTTAAGCATTTCCCCGATATACCTACCTATTCAACGAACTCCTAAAATCAGCATTATGTTTAGAAAACATTTAGATACCTACAGTGTCTCTCATAATTATTCGAATTTGGGTAAACTATAAAAAATTAAATTTGGTTTAATAATATATTTTGTGTGCAAAATAAATAAATTAATTTGTTATATTGTCTAGATAGTCCTTATGTTTGATATCACGCTTTTTAAAACTTGAAAAATTTGCATTGATTTAAATTAATTGTGCTTTTTTAAAAAAAAGTCCATGAAATTGCCTCATAAAAGTATACGAATTTTTCCTGTATTTCATATTTGATCATATTATACGCAACACAAATTTTAGAATCGAATGGTTTTTATGCGTAATATTGTTTTAAGGGGTTACTATCCACGGAAAGGATATATTTTTGGCGCATTTGGTCCACAATTTTGCGGAATTTGTACCCTCTTTTCATGTAATATCATTAAAATAGCGATTTTTGGCCATAATTGTAAATTTTTCTCCTTTTTTCCAGAGATAAAACAAAAATTTGATATTGGGACTTAAAAGACCCTTTGGGGTATCTAAAAATAATATCTTTTGTTACAAGAATCTGTATTTAAACGTTCCAAGATAAATTATTCGGATCATTCTTCTTTCGCTAATTAAATATATTGGAACTTAAGTCCATTTTTTTAATACTAGGATCAACTATTTTCGGGAAAAGTTTTCTGGTATATATTCTTTTAGATATCAGCTTTTATACATTTTAAGTTTTCAATGTGTTGTGAAAGTGTACAACTCCGAAACATGCCTCGAAGAAACACCATTCAAAATAGTAAAATCATTATTTTTATATACCACTGGACTCCATGCTGCATGGCACGATATCATTATGATCACATCAAAAATGTTGATATGTGTTTAAATATTATTTACTATGATCAAATTGAAACCAAAATTTAGGACTTACAGTGTTATTGTAACGGGCAACATAAGCGTGAAAGTTACGAGTAGTAAAAACTGAAATCTACTATATAGGATGACGTTTTGTTAAGGCATGTTTTGGGGTTGTATACCGCTATAATATGTATATTGAAAATTTAAAATACATTAGTGCCAATATGTACATGAATATACACTAGACAACTTTGTCGAAAAATATCGTCCCTAGAGGTACGAAAAGGGACTTATGATCCAGATAATTCAATTAGAAACTGAAAAGCGATACCAAAAATACATCTTGGAACGTTTAAGTACAGATCCTTATAACAAAAAATATTATTTTTAGATACCCTATGGGTTCTATTAAATTCCAATATTAAATTTTAGTTTTATTTCTGGAAAAAGGGTGAAAACATTACAAATATAGCCAAAAATGAAAAGAGGGTACAAATCCCCCAAAATTGTGGACCAAATGGGTCAAAAATATATCCATTCGGTTGATAGTAACCCCTTAAAGCCATATTAAGCATAAAACCATGCGATTCTAAAATTTGTGTATCGTATAATATGATCAAATATGAAATACAGGAAAAATTCGCATACTTTTGTGAAGTAGTTTCATGGACTTTTTTTAAAAAAGCACAACTAATTTAAGTAAATGTAAAGTTTCCAATTTTTAAGGGGCGTGATATCAAAACTAAGGACTATCTAGACAATATAACAAATTAATTTATTTATTTTCCACACAAAATATATTATTAAATTTGGTTTCTTTTCATAGTTTACATAAATTCGAATACTTATGAGAGACACTGTATGTACGTATAATATAAGACTGTGTTTCACTTTGGGTAGCTGTTTGTTCACAGTTAAATTCGTTTTATATACAGTGTCTCTCATAAGTATTCGATTTTAGGTAAACTATGAAAAGAAACCAAATTTAATAATATATTTTGTGTGGGAAATAAATAAATTAATTTGTTATATTGTCTAGATAGTCCTTAGTTTTGATATCACGCCCCTTAAAACTTGAAAACTTTACATTTACTTAAATTAGTTGTGCTTTTTTTAAAAAAAGTCCATGAAACTACTTCACAAAAGTATGCGAATTTTTCCTGTATTTCATATTTGATCATATTATACGATACACACATTTTAGAATCGCATGGTTTTATGCTTAATATGGGTTTAAGGGGTTACTATCAACCGCATGGATATATTTTTGACCCATTTGGTCCACAATTTTGGGGGATTTGTACCCTCTTTTCATGTAATATCATTAAAATGGCGATTTTTGGCTATATTTGTAATGTTTTCACCCTTTTTCCAGAGATAAAACCAAAATTTAATACTGGAATTTAATAGAACCCATAGGGAATCTAAAAATAATATTTTTTGTTATAAGAATCTGTACTTAAACGTTCCAAGATGTATTTTTGCTATCGTTTTGCAGTTTCTAATTGAATTATCTGGATCATAAGTCCCTTTTCGTACCTCTAGGGACGATATTTTCCGACAAAGTTGTCTAGTGTATATTCATGTACATATTGGCACTAATATATTTTAAATTTTCAATATATTATAGCGGTATACAACCCCAAAACATGCCTTAACAAAACGTCATCCTATATAGTAGATTTCAGTTTTTACTACTCGTAACTTTCACGCTTATGTTGCCCGTTACAATAACACTGTAAGTCCAAAATTTTGATTTTAATTTGATCATAGTAAATAATATTTAAACACATATCAACATTTTTGAGTTAGATCATAATGATATCGTGCCATGCAGCATGGAGGCCATTGGTATATAAAAATAATTATTTTACTGTTTTGAATGGTGTTTCTTCGAGGCATGTTTTGGAGTTGTACACTTCCACAACACATTGAAAACTTAAAATGTATAAAAGCTGATATCTAAAAGAATATATACCAGAAAACTTTCCCCGAAAATAGTTGATCCTAGTATTATAAAAATGGACTTAAGTTCCAATATATTGAATTAGCGAAAGAAGAATGATCCGAATAATTTATCTTGGAACGTTTAAATACAGATTCTTGTAACAAAAGATATTATTTTTAGATACCCCAAGGGGTCTTTTAAGTCCCAATATCAAATTTTTGTTTTATCTCTGGAAAAAAGGAGAAAAAATTACAATTATGGCCAAAAATCGCTATTTTAATGATATTACATGAAAAAAGGGTACAAATTCCCCAAAATTGTGGACCAAATGGGCCAAAAATATATCCTTTCCGTGGATAGTAACCCCTTAAAACAATATTACGCATAAAAACCATTCGATTCTAAAATTTGTGTTGCGTATAATATGATCAAATATGAAATACAGGAAAAATTCGTATACTTTAGTGAGGCAATTTCATGGACTTTTTTTAAAAAAGCACAATTAATTTAAGTCAATACAAATTTTTCAAGTTTTAAAAAGTGTGATATCAAACATAAGGACTATCTAGACAATATAACAAATTAATTTATTTATTTTGCACACAAAATATATTATTAAATTTGGTTTCTTTTTATAGTTTACCCAAATTCGAATAATTATGAGAGACACTGTATGTACATATGTAAGTCTTCTAAACTGCAATAAAAATTTTATTTATTATTAATAACTGTACTGTAACAAACTTCTATAGATCTAAAATTGGTGTACACTTTCTTTGGGGCTCACAGTATGTAGGACATACGTATTTATTAAATACTATATAACTGATCGGTTATCGTTGTTGCAGCATGATTGCCTGACGTACTGTACTTAGTAATAACCCTATGTAGGTACCTAAATATCCTTGTGAGCAATAAATAATTCATTACAATTATGATAAGATAATGTCGTATTTATACATTTTTAATACATTTGTGGTGAACAATTATACCCATTGACAAAACTACATGTACTATGTAGGTATGTGTTGTTATTATTGTTTTTGAAAATCAACAGTTTACAATTCACATCTTTAAATTTTGAATTAAAAAGTTTTTATAAACACATTTTCTAATATTAAACTGAATTATATTGGTAAATAGGTACCTATAATAATAAAATTTGTGTACCTAATTCTTTGAAATAAATATCTTACATCATTTACCGGCTTCTAAAACGCATTGTAAATTGATAAAAACATTAATAAGAAACTAGACCACATACATATGTTTATATTTTTAATTTTTTAATAAAAAACTTACCCTGTCCAATTTCTATAACGAAATTAGTTAAATCGTGACGCTGTGCTAAATACTGCAACAGTAGTTCATCGGGTATATTGAAACCAATCTTTTTGTTGCGAAACTCAAAATTGTAAATACCAAAAGCAGCACGTACTGTAAAAACAACAAAAAATACAAATTGTTAAAAATTTAATAAATACAACAACAACCCACAACATCAACAGTTTTTTTATTCTACAAAAAGTACAAATAACTCGAATAACAACAAAAATACAAAATAATAATACAAGAAACATGTGTGTACGTGCATGTGAATGTTTGTGACGGTGTTTACAATAGACAGCGAACGAACACAAGGTACAATATATGAAATAGAAGAAGAGCAAGAGATAGAAACAACAAAAATAAAAAGAACGAGAAATGTACACACATAGAGAAAAGATAGCAGCCGTAGTGGTTGCGATAGTAGTAGTAGTAGTAGAAGCAGCACTAATATAGAAGCTTAAAAATAAAAAGTTAAAAATAGAAGCAAAAAAACAACACACTCAGACAATAATAAACTTTGACAGACTAACGAAATATAAAAATAATAAAAACGCGGGTAAAACAATACAAAAACGGTGGTGACAACACTTAAAATTGCTTTCAAAAACGCCTAAATTTAAATCGACCATAGGTTTTAAAAGTTTTTAGAATTGAATTTAGTTTAAATTTGAATTTCGATTTTTATTGGGGTACATTGATTTTTATTCCGTTTGCAACACATACTAAATACCTACATACATATGTAGTATATGTATGTACATATTCTAACCTTTGAGAAATTGTTATGAATAAAAGGCCCTAAGTGTTTATACAATTTTGAGACGATCTAGATTCTTGTCAGGTAAACGCATGCAAATCTTGAAAGCTTGTAAATTGTAAAGTCAATTTCCCCACTAAAATTCAATAGCAACAAGAAAGAAAGTAGAGTCGGACCACCACTAATGAAAAAACTGATTTTATAAAGAACGGTTTACATGGTGTTCACAGTAAAATAAGATATGGGAACTAATGTAGAATGGGAGACAATAATTACGAGAAACCGCAGCTTTTATAAAAATGAAAATGGGTTCTCCGGTAGGCTAGTTGGAAGTATGCTAGCCTGTCAGTCTGGAGGCTGTGGGTTGGATTCCCACCAGAAACTCTGATGTGCTACACTACAACGATCGTATGGTCATCATCAACCTGCTCGGTAAATTAGATTAGTATATACATACATAATTTGTAATTGTATTGCAATGGACAAATAAATAAATAAAAATAAAAACATAATTATGAACTCAAAAGCACCAGACGGGGTCCATTGTATATAAAAATGTACCGATTTTAAATAGGCTAGTAGCTTGGGCCTCGGTCCAAGTTAGGGTTAAGAATATACCTCAGAGAATGCTACCGCTGAGAGTAGTAAGGCCGGTGTGGGTGAGGGACTAGATATAGAAACGTAACAGAATATGGCTACTTCCTTGGCCTAAATTAATACAAGACTTTGGCATCCAAAAAATGCCGTTTCGAGAAAAAAGGGTTTTAGAAAAACTCGAATTTTGGTTTTTAGTATAAACCAAAATTCGGGGTTTTTTTAAACTTTATACCAATTTTATAAATGCGCGTTATATGCCAAATTTAATCAAATTATATTGAAAATTGCAACCTGTACCTAATATCGACAGACTGACAGCAAAATTATGCTCAGACGCTTGGTATGCTCATATATTTCAATATATTGGGTAAAAAATACATAAAATTTTTTAACTAAATTATCATTAATAAAAACCATGAGTAATTCTCTCTAATTGACAACATTGAAAACGAACAAACTAAAATACAAAACAACTAAACTACTATAGAATAGACCGACGAGTGGACGGACAGACATACACAAATACAGAACCAAAATGAAGACAGTAAAAATTAATAGCACTGAATACACACTTGAATTGCCCAAGTCTAAAGAAAAATTTTATTATTATGGGGCATGGTGTAAAAAGTATAGATGGACGGTATATATATGATTATGATAAGGAAAGAAGAGCGGTACGACGGGCTAAACAGGAAAACATTTGCAATTGGATTGTAGAAGGAATTTACGTTTTAATTTACTTAATTTGATTAAAAAAACAATCTATTCACCACTCACCGACATTTTTCAAGTCCCAAATGCTTAAATCGCGATTCTCTTCAGGCACTCCAATCATTAATAATTTTTTGGTGTCTCGAAATTGAAATGGTAAAATAATGCCCGAACGTAATACCATTTTTATTGCAACTTTTTTTCTTATTTTTTGGTTTTTTGTGGGTAAAATATTTCTATTTTAATATTCTTTAATTCACTAACACTCAAAATAAAATCATAAAAAAATAATTTTTACTACAACACTTGTTTAATTTAATTTTGAATAGGTAGGTATAATTTTATTTAATTAAATTATTTTGATTTTTAATACGAATTTTTTTGAAATATTTTTTGTACACCTTCATTTAACTTGTTAACTTGTCAAAATGAAAAATTCTTCTAATCTTTATTTTAATAATATTTTCTTTCCTTTTTTATTATTTATTCAATTTCTTATCTCAATTTTCTCACTCTCATTTACGTTGTGCGTGTAGTGGTGTCATATGTGTATAAAGAACATCCAAAAGAAAATAAAAAATTGTTGGAATAGTAGAATAGAAGAGAAAAGACAACAAAGTTTTTAATAAAAACAAACCAGCGCTAGTCAATTCTGCTTTATTTTTGCCAGACGTCGTAAGTTAATTGTTGTTGTTTGTGTTTTGCCCTTGTGTTGTGCTATACAATTTAATGTTTTTGTTTACGAATGCGAGTTTATAGGAGAATTACAAACAAAACAATAGTAGAGTAGTATTTTTTCTTACTAAAAGAAACGAAACACTAAATGGATGTCCAAATAAAAAAGTTTAAGTATTTCGTGTTTCGTTATGCAAAAAATATTCAAAATCTCAAAAATACCTGTAATAACATAAACACCCTACATGCTTTCCTTTATCATTACTTACATATACATACATAATACCTATGTATTTTAAAAAGGTATTTATAATTTTTAACAAATTAACGTTCTTTTGCTCGTGCAAAACATAGGAACGACATTTTTTCTTGACATAAATTAAGAGTACCAATTCTGCAGATATTTGAATATATTTAATATTCATATATATTCGGAAAGACCTTCTCTTGTGAGCATGAATGTGTAAAATTTTTTTTCGCTTTCCTTCAGTTTCCGAGTTATGGAAATTTACATACATATAAAGTGGCAACCCTAAAAATTATGATATACAAAAAACGCATTTTTAGTAAATTTAAAGATTTTGATGTAAACTTTCAATATTTATATAAGATTTACAATTGCTTCTTAAAAAATTAACCAGTACAATTTGAATTTCTTTTTTCAAAATAAAAAAAAAACTTCTTAAATCTATCAAATCAAGTATTAGGGCAAAATTTTAATTAAAAAATTATTCAAAAATATAACAGAAAAGATCTTCAAATACCCATGTGTATATAAAATAGGTAGATATACAAAATATCATTAAATGAGTTTTAAATAGATAAATACATACATATATGTATATAAATATACAAAATAAGTTCAGTTTAAAATTTTAAGCTTATGTTGTAGGAAATATTTAATATAGGTAGGTATGTACATAATTTACATATCTAGATCTTGATTTTGCAGTCATGTGAATGATCTTCCAAAAATAAGGAATTTTTATTAATTCTTTTAAATTAATCTGAAGGCTTGAAAAAAATACGATTTATACCATATTTAATTTCGCCTCTTAATCTGCATAAATCTGTAAATGATTCATCATTAATACTAAACCAAATGTCTACACCACCGTCATTTCCTCTTTCTCGTTCTCTAAGTACTTCCCAATCTTCACAGCAGAGTGATGCATTTTGTAATCGCATTAAGGACAACATTACTTGAGTTTCTAACGTTGGCGGAGGTATATAAACTTTAACTGTATGACGGCTAATTTGAGTTATAGGAAACACATCAAGTTTTGCTCCATGCCATAACTTATCCAAGTTAAGTATAAATTTTGTAATGAAATTGAATGCGTTTTTGTTATGGCATCCCACAATTTTTATGCCTCTCATCCATTTAGCGCCATCAAAGAGACCAATGCTGGAATCATTTGTTCGTAACATTTCACAATTAAGAGCTTCAAGTAAACGCTTTTCTAACATGAGCCATTTGTCATTTGTAATTCTCCAATTAGGGTGACTTCTATCAATTATAACGATTTGCAAGTGAGGTGGACTTGAAATATTTTTCAAAGGTTTAAGCCATTTAAGTTTTGAAAAATCATAGTTATTAGATCGTTTTTGTCTAATTGCAGTTGTGGAAGAAGCTATGCTTGAAATACTATAGTTTGTTGGTTCCTTTTCATTTTGGGTGATGTTATTTAAGCCTTTATTATTACAAACTTCTGAGTTTTTTTCCTGCATTGAGGTATTTAGTATGTTATTAGTATTCTCGGTTGTAAAGCTCGATTTTAATACTTTGTTACATTCTTGGATCCCTCCTTCAGCAATGTGAGTTGTTTTATTACTATTTTCCCCAGGTCCTTGACAACGCCGTTTGCGTTTATTTTTACGTTTTTGTCGAATTTTATTATTATTTGCAGATTCAGTAGAACAATAATCTAAATTTACAACTTCTGCACCTGGATCTTTCAAATTGGCAACAGCATTTTCAGAGTTACTTGGTATAATTACCGGTATTTCTTCTTGTTCATCTTTAATTACAATGCAAATGTTTGATTTATCCTCTGCAGAAGTATCTTCTTCCACAAAATTTATAACTATAACATCTTTTGAATCCTCCACTTCGTTGTCATCGCTTATTTCTATAATTTCTTCATTATCCCCAATGATTTCCACATCGTCCGACGACATGTCTTAAAGTTGTTGGTAAACAAATATTTTAAGTCGCAATATGTAAAATTAAATTATAATCCTCACCGTTTATTATATTTTAATGTAATTTTAGTGCAATAATTTAATTTTGTTAAATTAATCAAAATGTACGTATGTATATATTCGTTGCATTCATTTAAAATAATACAAATTCTCTTAGAATAATTTCCAATTTTATTAATTGCAATTAGTGATGACAAATGGATTGTAAACACAACTATCGATAACAATGTTTTGATAAAATGGGTGTTACCATTGTGTTAATATTTTTATTGTGAATCAATTCAACTAAATAAAAATAATTTAACTTGTTGGAAAAATACGTAAAATTTTGGATTTTTTGCCTTTTTTGATTTTTTTTTTGACTTTTATTTGCATAATCGATTTTTCTACTTTTTTCTTCCATAATTTAAAAGTCGATTATAGAACCCAAATTCAACTTAATTGATTTTCGGCAACACCATTGTCATCGTTTTTTCGCGCACTTTCCCAAAGTGTAATTAAGTTAAAACTCTGTTAAAAATTAAAACTTGTGGCAAATATTTAATTTTTATAACTCTATTTTATACATATAACACTGTGTGACAAAAATTACTCAACATGTGACCGAGTGCGGTTTGTGTATGTACCCTGCCAGCAATTTTGTAGTCGACTACGAGAAAAATTCACTTCTAGTTTACTTTTACAGACTGACTATAAGCTAACTACAATGTAATGCAGAGCTGTCCCGAAATTTTGTATTTGGCAAAGTAAAGAACCGACTTTTAAATACTAACTACAAGCTTACTATAATGTAATGCAGAAGTGCCTCAAAATTATCTGGAGAGAATTAATTGTATTTCAACATGTTTTCTCTGTTATTATGATTTTATTTGTTAACTTTAGTAGACTGACTATAAACGAACAACAATGTAATGCAGAAATGTTTCAAAATTTGGTATTTATTAACCTAAACAACCGACTTTTAAAGCTTGTAGCTAACTATCATATAATGCGGGAGTACCCCAAAATTGTCTGGAGAGCAGTTTGTTTCGACATGTTTTCTTATGTTTCTTTATTATTTGGAATTTTGTTTTACATTTCTGTCATTTTCTTGCATACGTTGTGAAATTAGAGTCAGTAAATTGGAAAAATTAATTGTAAAAGGTTACATATTTCAAAACTCGGTCCCTAAATTCTGCTGATTAATACTGTAAATATAATACATTAACAGTTAACATTACACATAACATTTTAAAATTTATTTTAGATTTGGATCAATGGGAATCATGGAAATAATGAACAAATCATTCATAATTTTATGGATACCGGTGTTATTATTAGTTCCCCATCAGAAAACTGATGTCTATTAATTTTAACGAACTAATACCATAACTTGTATTAAAGCGAAATGAAATTTAGATAACTAGAAGTTAAATTTTAAATAAATTTAATTAAAATGTAATTAATTAATACAGTAGGGAATACAAAAGAAAACTATTACTTGACTTTTCTGCAACTAACTTTAAGTTAGTTAATAAAGAGTTACCTTTAAGCTATTTTTTTTAGTAACTAACTTTAAGCTAGTTGAAAAGTCATGCAGAGTCGGACAATTGACTACTGCGTATGACATCGCCATGTTAAAATAGTCAGTTGGCTCCATTAAAAATAATCCAAGAATCAACCATAACTAGTTGATGAAAAAGTCGGCTTTTAATGTATTTAAAGTTAGTTGAGTTGCTGGCAGGGTAGTTGAACATAAGATTATCCTGCCATATTTAGAATTTTTAATTTACCCTTATATAGCCACACTTCTATATTCAGTACGAATATATGTAAGTGAATTAGGAACAGAATCCAAGTATCCACTTGTATCCACTTTTTAGAACTATAGTTAGGTTACGTGGATTGCTCGCAAGTTTGCGGGAACTTGTGGCCCATTGTGGTAGCCTTAGAATTACCATTTCCTTATATTGAGTGTACTTACATAAGGAAGAATGATTTCACTCCCTGGTTTAAGACCCCATCTCTTCCCAAGATATTCTTACATATATAGAAGGCACATAGTGCCTACATCATTCGACTCTCAACATTACGTTTCCACGAGATTCATACATATTATGTATGTTCGTATAGAATATCAAAGTGTGTATACTTTTATACCCACTATTAAAAAATACGTTTGTAACACATCGAAAAATCGGTCTGGGTCCTTACTAAATTCTAAGATACATGTCTGTCTGTTGAAAGCACCGAACAAAAAGATCTAGGGAGCTGAAATTTTTCCTAAATATTCTCTATTAATAAGGTTACTTTGGTATAGAAAATGAGCTTTCACCTAACCCCCATACAAGTGAGCCCCCGAAGTACAGTTTAAATAATCCCAGAAGGCCTCTTGAAATAATGAAACGGTCGGTAGAACAACAAATATCATATGGGGAGACGTGCGGATTTAGACGTATGTAGAGCACGTGAATAGAACTGTTAAACTCTGGATCACTTTCTATGTCATTGTCAAAATTAGACCCAATTATATTGGGAGTGATATTATTCCGGATATAACTGAGTTTCTGAACAGCGGACAATAATATCTTCATTGATCGCTATATTAGGTTTTTGTTTTTACCATTAAATATTTTTAATGGAAAGAAGCGCACAACAGGCCGGATAGTGGTCTAGATATATTTCTTCATATTCGATGTAGTATACAACCTCCTATCAACCTAATCTAAATTTTTATTAAGCTGTTCACAATTTATCATTTTATTTAGCTAATTTCTAATTTAATTTTGGATTAGGAACGGGTACGGTAGTAATTTTTAGTTATGTACACCCTTCTGAAATTTATGAGCGATAACTTTAAAAGCTTACATTCTGAAACTAACTGAACTACTTATTATGAATATTTTTAAATTAATTCAAATATTTTCAAGTTCAAAATTAATCTAAAAAACTAAAATTGTGTTTTCTATTTTTTTCAGATTTTTAATGATTTAGAGACTATTTGAACAGCTTTCAAAATTTATCGAATATAACTTGATCTAGGGGGACTAGTAAAAAATTCAGTTACAAATTTTGTCCTATGTCGCATTTCCTTACGGCCTTAAAATTTTATTCATTACACAAGGCAAATAAAAAATATGATTACATAAAAATTTTACATTTATTTACGAAATAATTTCATAGTATATAGAATTTTTAAATTAATTTTACATTACAAAGTTTTTATGTTGTATGTAATAATCAGTTTGTTTATCGTATATTAATTAATTTATAATAATTACATCATTGTATATAATAATAAAAACGGGAGCCCAAATAAAAACAAAAAAGAAAGCAATATATAATTTAATTAAAGTAATTATGTTAACTATATTATGTACTGCAAAATATTTAACATAATATAAACAACATCGACAAATTGTATAAATTGTAAGCATTTTTTAAATTGGATTACTTTGAAAAAGCCAAACATAAAATAGTGTTTGTGGAAGTGTAGATAGATGTGCTTTATAATAATGTAGCATAGCATAGTTTTAGGCAATTAAGTGATGTTTTTTTTTTTGTCAAATCCAAGTTGGTTTTATAATTAATTAAAGAAATTAAAATATGCCTAAAGTATGTTATATTAAAGCGTTATTAATAAATAGTTAACAAACATAAAAATAAATTATTTCAAATCCAAATAAAAAAAGAAATTTTGAGCAATATTTTTCGTTAACCAAAGAAACTTTATTTCAGAATTGTAAATTTTAAGCAAAAATATCGTTTATTATTTTTGTAAATTTTTCATGTATTTTATCAAGATATTTGCAATATATAAATTTTATTTCGTAATTAATTGAAAATAAACGACTTTAAAAGTTGTTTCACCAATAATATTCAAAGTATTCATTCCATTCTGGTTTATTATTTTTGAAGACATATTTTAAAATATTCTTCTGTTTAAACATTCTAAGCGTAATCTAAGTGGTTGTATATGTGTGTGTTTGTGTATGTTTTTAATATTCGATGACCCAGTAGTTGTAAATTGTTTATCGTCGGTAACGTCCCAAGTATGCCTTGCAATTAGGGCATGTGTGATGAACATCCATGCAGTCATCAATACAACAGGGAATCAGACAGCAACCCAACCAGCAACTGTAATGGAAGAAATGTAATATCATTCCTGAACTCAATCACTGCTCAACACACAATTTGGGAGTAGTATAATAAGACATTCTTCTTCCATTTAACTTACCCTAATAATGCAATTACAAAGCCCGATAAGTATGCAATCATTCCAGGTTCAGTACGTGTTGTTGTTTCGATTTCAGCATGACATGATGGACAGATCATATGTGTAGCCGTGCGACCAATTGGCACAACTGTGGTAACAATATGGGCATTTGTGGTAGCAGCAGCATGTGTGGGTGCAGCGACGGGTGTGAAAGGACCCACTGGTTTAACACCACCTACAGCTTCCTGATAAGATGGTGGTGCCGAGGGTGGTGGCACATACGTGTATTGTGGTGGTGAAGGTCCCGTTGCTTTACTCATTGTGCTTTAAGGCTTTTTATTAATTTATTTCTCCTTATATTTCTATTCTATGCTTGTTCCTGTGCGTACTCGTATTTTATGTTGCAGCTATTGTAGTTTTTATTAAAAATCTGTTAGAAGCTTGTGCAACGTTGCGTATGGAATATATTGTTTTCTTTTATTCTATGTTTATGTGTGTATGCTGGGGACAAGGGAATACACCGGGTATGCGATTTTACTTCTCAGTAAATGCAATATTCTTTTTATTTTAGTCTTTTCACTTTGTGCCTGCAAATAAATGGAGAAAATAGAGAAGTTGAAAGGAAAGGTTATTTTAATGAAAATGTGGTTGTTTTTTAAATGAAATGTATGAAATATTAATGGAAATGAATGTCTGTGGATATAAAATACATTGTATTTATGGAAATATAAACAAGATTTATCTGTTAAGATTTTAAATCTTAACATTAAAGAATATTTATATAGATAAATAAAAAAAATTTCAATAGAAAATCAATGAACTAATGTGGACATATGTACATACATATGTATATAATGAACCAAGTTTCAAATGAAATTGCATCAAAATAATAGAATGATATTATTTCCACATACATATTAGAAAATATACATAATAAATTAATTAAACTTTTGCTACCATAATGTGGGAAAAGCTTAATGGTGTCAGAAGAAAGAAATATGTAGTTAATAGTACATATATAACATCATGTTTACGGCGACCATAAAAAAGGATATCTTGACATTTGTGTTACGTGTTCATAAAGACTGATATAACACACTCTGACGGAAAAAATATTATTAAAAGGGTGCATTGAATCGGTATTAAATAACGCCTGATAAAAGAAAATAAAGATGTTATAAATGTTTCGATATGTGGGACTCTTGAAGTGATCCAACTTTGAGTTGTGTTATTATCATTAATGTCTGTTTTAAATAAAACCACTTAAATCATCTAAATAATTTATATTCAGACAGCTATAAAAAAATTATTTAAATATTCGCATGGGTGCAATAAGAAATAACTATAAACATATAATAGTTATGTACATTGGAGGTGCCCAAAAAATATGCCTCTCAAACCCACTAAAAACCATTTTGTGGACCAAAAGTACTTTATTTTATAATAATTTTTCACGTAATCAGGTGGTTTTGCGTTTGTCAGGTTAACTACATCGAGCTCCCTTCCCTTTAAAGCTATTACATTGGCCCTTTCGTTGCCAACTACTCCCGAGTGGTCTAGTAATCATATGATGTAAACCTTACCTCTGGGAGAGTATTAAGTTAAAGCTTTCTTACTATCTAATACGGTCTTAGATTTAATTCTATCACCTGATATCGCCCTAATCGACTGTCGGTAAATATATTAAGTGCTGTGGGCGCCATATTTATTCTAATCCAATTTACACATTCCGTTATTGCTCGGACTTCTGCCTGGAAGCTTGTGTTATGTTGAGGTAAGCGGTGGTATATTTCTGTTTCTGGACCTTCAATATAGAATCTCAGGCCCAATTTGTCCTCCAATTTAGAGCCATCCGTGTAACAACGAATTTCTACTGGTATTTGCTTTAATGTTCCGCTTGAACAAAACATTCTATCTGCGATCAGCGTTTCAAAGTTTCCGACATTTTCTGTGTCTGGTATGCGATCATTTAAGTGGTGTATATGTCAATTTGAAGCATGCAGTGAATATCTGTGACAGATGTACGAAAACCAGTTCCCCCAGTACATTAATACGCATCGATCGAGAGGTATTTCTATATGAGATTCTTAAAAAGCAGTTCCTCGGGACACTCTAATGTACATATCTTTAATTTAGCGACCAAATGTGGAAAGTCCATTTTTATAAAATGTAACCATTTAAAATAAGTTAAAGTTGCCTTTTTACAACTTTTTTTTAAAGAAACTTAATACATGGGGTGACTAATATTGAAGTATGGAAGTACATTGTTTAATATCTCTAAAATGTTTTGTAGTTATATTTAAGCGCAAACAAATTTAAGGTGGTTAACTTAAGTATGGGCGGTTTTTTATTTGAAACTTTGGCATACCTATAAATAATATAAAAGTAAAGACAGGAATTGTTGTTCTAGCTTAACTGTAGGTTGTAATGATTTTTTAGTTCCACAGACTCACTCCAACATAGAACGAAAATGTAATGATAGAACACAAAAAATCAAAACGGAAGTATCAAGTTTTGTCTCCATTATATCTCTCCTTTTTGTTTCTATTCTCAGTTTACTTTTTTATTTTTTATCGAAACACGAAGTGCAAAAAAATACAAACTACGTGGTTTCCTAACAACAGTAACAGAAAGAATAATGGAAAAACTAACAGTGTTTGTTGAAAATGCATGAGTTTTAGTTGTTTTTACTATGACGCCAAAACAAGTAAAAGTCATTTAGTTTTATATAAAAAAAATTGTTGCTCCTTCTCTCCTACTTCTTTAAAGAAAACAACATGATGTAAAAATTTTAAATACATACTAAAACTTTGACAACTATATGGAAAACCTGCATTACATGTATTAAGTTGTGCAATGGAGAATTTGTGAATCATTAGGAACTACTTATAACACTAGTTACCCATATGTATATAAATAATGCATTTGACTGGTGCTCCAATTGTCTTTTGCATTAAACAAGATTTTTATCTTATATTTTGTTTTTCAATGATTATAGAGTTATTTATTTGTTTTCTGCAAAGCCTTTTAAGCTTTGTTGTTTCCTCCTGACCAGTAGAATAATGAAAGTTACTCATTTCGAAATTGCAGGGAACCTAGTTAATACAATGGCTAGCAACAAATACTCTTATATAATATTGACGCATTTATTTATGTAAGTGTAAGTGAGTATCTATGAGTGTATGTACTAGTATTTTTTTGCGACATCTGCATGACAATGACACCCTCTTATAAGTATTGAGTGCTGTAGCTGTTGGATTTTATGTTATTTTTCATTTTTTTGCTTTAAGAGAAAGTTAAATGTGTACTTTTGTAATTGCAAAATGTACTAAATAAAAGATGTTAAGGAATACTGAAAACATTTCACACACAACAGCACAAAAAAAACAAGATTCAAGTTTTTTATACGACCACTTGAATTGATTTCTGTCATTTTTAAAACTCTGCACCTTTAAGCTTAAATGAATAAGTTACATTCAGTTTTAATACCCTTCGCGAGAAGGTGAACGTTTTCCATTTAGTTCATAAGTTCTAAAATTTTATTTTAGGAAGTTATAAGGTAGGTGCATATTCATATGTGTTCTGAATTTTTATAGATATCGAAGTCGATTTAGCAATATTCGTCTGTCCGTCTACACAAATCTCCTTTTTTAGTTGAGTTTGTTTTCAAATGTCCGTCTGTCCATATATCCATATGTATGTTGAAATCAATTTTCCCCTTCCCCAGATATCTTAGGAATCCAAATTTTTATAACTCTATAATATAACAAAATCGGTCCATAAATAACGAAAATATGAGCAAGGGTAGGGTTAATTAAGAACCGATACTTCTGAAATATAATTTTAACATGTTTGAGAACTCTTTTTCTGAAGGGGAGTTTATATGGAGGCTAGGGTCAATGTTCACTATACTGTTTTATAAGTTGGTGCCAAATTTTATTACGACTGCCATGTAATCCACTGAATATTTATTCCTGTATTCCTGGAGGACAATTCTATTAAGACTATTAGACCGATATTCACATTCCATTCCCCATTTTTGAGGGTTGGGTATAAAAATCATAAGAAAAGTGCAACTAAAATTCGTTATTGCTGCATATTTGTAAATGTAAAAAGAAATATTCACACTCACTATTTATGACTTTTTTAACATTTTTTTGGCTCGCGCACTAGTAAAATTAAATTTTTTTAAAACAATTTATGACACAGTGCATGTGTATAATTCCTTTGAAATATGATGTCACAGTCATGCAAAAATAATTCCTGCAATGACCCTGATATGTAATAATTTAGAGTACCACTTGGAATTAATTAAAATTTATACAATTGATAAAATACAAAAAGTAAAAGCGTGTATTTGAATACATTTTAAAGAAAATGAAAATCTACATGAAATAGAATTAGGTTTTGAGTTCAAGCAAATTTAAAGGATCAAACTTCCTCAAATGAAACAAAAATAAATGAATTGATTTATTTCTCTAATAAATTTTTGTTTGTGTTTTTGGGATGCTGAATGCAAAAAAAATTCATTTTATTTTTGTTATTTAATTATTTTTTTAAATAAACAATCACACACTCATACTATTAACACATTTAAGATTTGTATTGGGCAAAACAAGAACAAAAAACATCTCACAGCTAAAAAACTAAAATAAACATGTTGGACGCGTTGTTGACCAAATAAAAATAGAATTTCGCATAAAAATTAAATTTGTATCTGAATGTTTGTATCTAAATATTCCTACGAATATAACCAGTACACGTATGCTTGAATCTCTATGAATCAATATCTTTTAGGGTGTCCAATTTTTTGGATAGTTTTAATCCCCTAGAAAAGTTTATTTGTTGATATATATTTAATAATTAATTTTCACTAGCACTAGGGAAATAAATCTAAATTCTATTGATTTATATAGAACTATTTTTTTTAATTTAAAAGTACCAACATAGGACCAATTGGTGACTGGTAGAGAGGCAATTAAATGTTGGTTAAACAATTACAGTACCGAAAATAAATTCAGGGATTTAAAAAAATCTCGATAATTGTCTGTCCTTATAGAAACCCTATCTTTTATGTATTTTCCAACTGTGGCCATCTGATGGATGCTACGAGACGAGTACATTCAACACATTCACCTGATGAGTCATTTAAAAACATTTAATGTAGAAGACGTCCAATTTTATATCTGTACAATGAAGATTTTATTTATGTATATTAGGGTCGCCCCATTTGTATTCATAAAAAATAAGGTACTGATGTTCCCACATAAAAACCTTCAAACGGACCTTTTTATTCATTGATCCAGCTCACCGAATATGACGTCAGAACAAAAAAAAAAAAATAGAAATTATACCTTAAAATAAACTAAATTTTCAGTTTAGGCGGGAACTTCAGCATTATATTTAGGGGCCAGCCTAATGTACGTCCATTTTTTTGTGTAGATTTCAAAAAGATTTCAAATCGAAAAACAAACAAATTTTCCCATCGAATGTTACCTATTTAAAAAACTTTGACTTTTTTGTACGAAAACCTCTTATGATGGCATGGAACTCAAGGCTTTCATTCAATTTTATTTGATTTTTATAT